GTGCCCATTTATTCCTCTTCTTTTCAAGGCTCCCTTTTCCTTCCATGGAATGGCTTCATGCAGACTCCTGAAAAAGTAACTATTGCAAACCACTTTCCTAACTGACGGGAGGGAAGGTCAGGACATTCTGTTTTAGATCACGCACTCCTATGACAAAAGGACATATTCAATGTAGAAACTTACACCGGACTTAGGCCCTTTTCCACCCGATATGGGAATATCCACCGTGGTCCCTTCGTTGCTAACTGTGGACAGTTTATTAAACTGTTCTAGGTGGGCAAGAAGGGTAGGGAGCTGATTTTGCTCCCTTCTCCATCAGCCAGCTAGTACGGGATTTCCCCTGCTTTCTTCAGTTTGAAAATGTAGGTAATGGATTGATGTCTGACCATAAGTTATGACCCACATCTTAAAAGAACTTCTAAGTCCTTTAAGGATTTCTGCCAGCTTTTTCAGGGGTCCTGAGGGTCCTCCCTGGAGATGCGACACCTTTCCTAATAGTAAGGTACCGATAGGAAGAAATCCATATGCTCCCGATGAAAGAAGACGGGGTGGATGTGGGGAATGGAGGCACAGTCCCTTTGGTAGTGGTCCAAGGCTGCTCTAGTGGTGACTGAAAAACATTCAAACAGGGAACGCCTCCCTGATTTACACAGAGAGAAAAACACTTCTTTTGAATTTCTACCCCTGGTATCTGCTCCTCCAACTTTCCACTAAAACTTTGTCAACTGCTGAGTTTGCCCATTTATCAACTTCAACTGTTCTCACTCATACTGACTGAATGTGTTTTTAGACAGTAATCTGATAACACTATGCCACATTTCATATCTGAGCTACACTTAAACATATCAAGTGTTTTGGTAGATGGAAAATTACAAGGATTTCCTATTCATTTCTTCTTGGATTTTCTTGACCACGGCAAGGAAGTTGGTACTTTGCCAAAAATCCACCCTCCCCACCAGACACATACACCCTCACACGTCCAAGGAAAGAAATCTTACTGTCTTGAAGATTCAGTGTTGACCATCTTGGAATTCATTCAGATAAGCGTGGTTTCTATTTCCAAAGCTAGTACTAAATCAAAGTCTTCGTTATAAAAACAACTTCAGGTCAGATGTTGGTAAGTACTATCTTAAAAATATCTTCTTCGGTGGAGGCTTAATACCTCCTTTCAGAATACATGGACAAACCAACTTTAGCGAAACCTTTGACTTGAGCTCATTAGACCCTGGGGGGACGGTGGGGTGGGGGCTGGCAGTCCGGGGGCCCTGAAATTCTTATCAGCATGTGAAATGTTCACAGATGGGCCATGTGCATTTGAGAGAGAATCTATTGCTTTCATAAGCTTCTCAAAAGGGGTCCATGTCCCCTCAAAAGATGAAGAACCTGCTTTTGAATATCAAATATTGAGTTCAGGTTTTAGCAAATAGAAGTGAAAATTTTCTGAAACATCTGGAATTACAATGTTTTCGTGTTCAGCTGGATCTTGACTAGACTAGGAATTACACAAAAGCTTTACCTTTCTGAACTCCCTAGTCCGGAGTGTTTATTCCTCAGGAGATCATTTAAGTTGTAAAACTGAGTATCAAAACCGAATAAAATAGCCTAACATTTGGGTCCCTAACAATTTCTTGTTTTGTTTTTTTTTCCCATAAACTTACTAATTCCTTTGTAAAATATCAAACTTAAATCCTATCCATGTAATTTACAAAAGTGATACTTGTTCATGCAATATTCCAACAGAAACAACTTTTGTCTCTTTATACACACATAAAAATCAAGGAGATGAATAGGAAGAGTACTATAATATTTTGGTATAAAAGAAAGGTTTTCCACAGAAATTCTCAAGTTTAAAAACTTGGCATTCAACTTTTTATAAGAAAGATAATTTCAAAGATTTAAATCTTGGATTAAAATTTTCTTCTTGGAGAATAAGAATTTGGCTCAAATTTAGAAAATTGGAATGCGGAAAAGTGTGCCATTTTAAATTTATAAGTGATACAATGTGTTTAGCTTTCTGCTCTGTTTTTAAGTTTGTTAGCTTTAAGATTTTCTCTTGACACACTCAAGGCTGCTTTTTCACAATGTGGACTCCATGCCATTGAAAGAGATGAACTAATTCTGAAAGCCACCATTGTATCTAAACAGTGACTACTTCTCTAACGGCTAACATGCATCCTTAGTACACAGAGAGACATGAGTATGCACTTACAGCAAAAGGCATTCTGTTATGAATATATAATACACCAATCTTGGCTTTATGCATTTACTTATGAACCCACAATTTTCCAATATGTATTCACAGACCACATCTTTACTGTCGGCAAGTTGTTCTACTGCACTCCTGTCTGACAGACGGAATACATGGAAACACACCGAGATTAACTGTGGCAGGGACACTGATAAGCCTCCAGACTCCGGATTTTTTATTTTAAGTTGCAATAAAAAAAAGCAGCAGAGAACTCACTGAAAGATGAAAGTTTAAAGACCTTTCTGCAGGTAACTTCTCATAGGTTATGTTAAGGCAATTAGAAATTCCCAAAATGCAATTGAGAAGGTTACTGATCAAGAATAAAATAACGTCCAGGCTATCAACATTGGCAGCTCTGGTTTTGGAACTGATCCCAGAATTCTGCTTTGTAGACGGGCTGGAGGTGAGGGGGTGGAGCGGTATCTCCTGAAATGGTCTTTATTAGTGAGTATGGTGCATATTGGAAATGGTTGAAGCCTCAGGGGCAGCGATATGGCCTCACAAATATTTGGTGCCTGCAGTTCCCTCAGCTGTTTTGAGGAAGGGGGAGGGAGAAGCATCACTCTGGTTAAAAGCAGCTCAAGCCCAGGATAAAAGAAGGGCCGTCTCCTCACTATTCCTGTAACTGCCCTAGGAAGACAGGGGAGCCCTTGGCAGATACCAAGGTATTGGGAATTGGCAGCTTAATGCCCTTTGCTGAAAAAACAAAATAGAAGAGCACAGGAACATCTCTACAAAGGAAAAACGTATTTCTAGCATAATTTTAAAATAGACTCATTGAGTGCCTCCTCCTCAACCATTATGGAAAAAGTTTGGGGACCAACACACAACCAAGCTACTGAAACTGCAGTAACTTAGGACTTCATTATGCTATAGGATAGGATAAAAGCTTTAATCCTAAATATGAAACATTGCATTACATGGTTTACAGCAACAACCTGCTTTGAGGTCTGCCCATCCATACAAGGGTTACACACGCTCACGGCCCTAGATTCCTAATGTTTACCAAAAGCACAGGTAAGCTTCCCATAGAAGATGGATCTCTTCAATTTATACAGACATGTAACCTTTCCCCTTCCATGTTATATTACAGCAGACCTTACTTTTGAGGCAGGAGCCCAGAAACTCCAAAGCACGCACCAGAGCCTCATTACCTAGCGGCAGAAATCATGACGATGCTCTGGTTACCACGATCATCACTGACAGCAGAGGACCTTAAGAGACGAGTCTGGAACACAGTTTTGAAGACCCACCACAGAAGAAGACAAAAAACCACAACCGCGTCAATGGTTTGTAAAAGTGTTCAGGTAACCCCATTTCACAGATAATTTTTGTTTTTCATCTAGTCTTCTCACTGGGGCAGAAAATGGAGGCAGTGAGTGAACTGAGCGATAAGGCAGTCAGGACACATTTAGCTGAGGAATGAATGGCAATGGATGAAAGAGGAAGCAGGAACATCCAAACATAACCTCAAAACATTTAAATATTGCTAAGAAAAAAAAAGAGCCTCTGCAAGGCTTTAAAAATGAATCAAAGAATGAAGCTCCTAAGAGAGTGATATTCTACACATCAAATATTTCTGTGTGTCTGTGTAATACACATGCGTGTCTGCATATACCTACCCATATGACACACACATTTACTTAGGGGAAACAGCCTGGCAATTAATTTGGAACTCAAATGACATGGTTACACATAGATCATAGTTTCTAAACACAATGTTAGTAAAACAAAATTTATTTGTAAAACAGGACCTGTTATATAAAATGGCACACAATCAAGTGATACAAAAATACAAAATTTCTTTCTGATTACAGTTCTAGTTGCAAATGATAATTAGAAAGCATTCCTGGTGGCTTCCAAATAGTTGAGATTGCGAGCATATGAACAGGGAGCAGCAAGAGTCCGTGATGTTGGGATGTCCGAGTGAGTAGAACCTAATCTCCAAATTCAAGATTTCCATCAGGTCACTTTGGAGGGACACCTCCTAAAAGAGCTAGCTCCTCGAATGTCTTCTGTTTTGATACCCATCTTCCAGATTTTTGCAAGTCGTAAATTTAGTTCCCAATGTTTTTTAATGTCCAAAATCTGTGTGGCTATGAAACAGAAGGTATTCTGAATTTTCTTAGATGATTTGCTCTCTCACCTATTTGGATAATTGTTAGTTACATAATTATATTTATTCCTTTCAACTGATATAAAAGAGTACAATGATAGTTTGTTAATGTTAGATGTTAACTTCTGGAGAATTATTGTTTCAAAATAGCTACTGTTACAATGTTGGTTTCCCAGATCTTGCCAAGACATGAGCTCTTAACTGTGTTGTTTTTTTTAAAAAATTTCAGATTCTTATTGCAAATATTCTGAAAAATCAGAAATATCACATGAGCTTTGAAAAGAAACCAAGGCATTTAGCAAAAGTTAGCCTAGCTAAAGAACACAGATACTTACAAAAAAAAAAAATACAATTTACCTTTTGCAGCAATTTAAAGGTCCAACCCTTTGAAAGGAAGCACATTAGCAAACAGCTGCTTATTACGCCCTACTGGCATTAATTGTATGCATTTTCATAATACCGGTCTAATTCACGGTCTAGTTCTGGTAGGAGACAATGCTCTCTTTCAAAAGATTCTCCTTCCATGGAATGATAAAATGCTGAGGCTTTCTTTTTTTTTTTTCTTTTCTTTTTTTTTTTTGTACAGAGCCTGTGTTTAGTGCAATAAGTTTAAAAAATTTGCTCTGAAATATTTACTTTACATTAACAAAAATAGCCTTTTTTTAAAAAAATTGTAACAAAAAGGAGTTATCGCATAAACAGATCATGAATTATTCTTAGCAAATTACACTTTTTTCTTAAAGCATTCACCATTACAATAAGCAGAACAATGGAATATTAGCCATTCATATCTGGTAAGCTTCAGGAATAAAAAACAAAAACAAACCCCAAAATCCCATAACCCAGCCCTAAACAAACAAACGAAAGTGTTCAACACTTGAGGATCAGAACATTAACCAATTCTTCAGCTAAACATTGTATAATTCTGGATACTTCATGAATTGTCAAGGAGAGGAGCACCTGCCAGTCTGTTTTCCAATTTTATAGCAAGCATTTGAAATAAATGGCTCTTTAGCCCTAAACCACTGGAATTTTCAAAGCTTTGTGTTCCGTGTTTCTCTCCCTTCTTTATCCCTCCCAACGTTGCTTAATCCGCTAATCAATATACAGAAACTTAAAGACTAAACTCATTGGGTGCTCCAGCTTCCTTTCAAATCAGGCACAAAATGTGTGAAAGATGCTACTAAAGTAGAAAATGGAAGAAAGACAAACCATAAGAAAAAAGTTTGCATAAGAAAGATTATCTACCCTTTTCTTTTTACCTACTCTCTTATAGAAGCATTAGGGTAAACTACAAATACCTGAGGAGTTGGTTACTTTTTAATGTTGGCAGACAAATGCACGAGCAATCATGAAACTTCCCGTAGTGGGCCCACTTATATGCTTCTCAACGTAAAATGACATGGCTTCTTTGATTGGGGAAAAGTGATTGGAGCAATTCCTTATTTCTCTGAAAGCATGTGCCTAGTCTTGTCCCACTAGGGCTTATGCATTAGTAAAATAAGGTCTTGATTTTATGCACACATCAGGGAAATCACCCCTGAATAAACTTTAGACAGAGAATTCGGTACAATAATTTTACCTAATTTAAATAACTAAAGTTAAAATCTCCTCTAAGTTATTAAAAATGTTAATCAGATATGAATCTTAACATTTCCATTAAGACAATTACAATTGAAAACATTAAATGACGGCAGTTGCCTTGGAAAAGCCACCCGTATGAAAGGAGTACATGTTTGACAAAAATAAGCATAAAAAAGGTATTAAATCCCTGTTCCTTTTCTCTGATTTTGGCTGATTATGTGTGTGTGTGTATATACATATACATATATATACACACATACATATACATATATACACACACCCACACACACAAATACATAGCTATGTGTATATATTGTTTTGGAATGTCAATGGGTTCCATAACGGTCGGCTAGGTTCAAGCAGAACTTGCTCCCGAAGCCTAGAAAACAAAGTCATACAGAGTATCATCTTAGACAATTACCAGTAAAAGGAGATAATGAATGTTACAAATGCATAGATGGTTACAAATAGCAACAAAGCAAAATGCACTGAGAATCCTTCTCCCCAGATCCTATACCAGGGCTGAAATGTGTATGCATGTTGGACGTCACACTGCTATTCTGGAAAACCTCTGACATATGCAGAGGCTACTTCTCTGGCCTATGTTGCTAGCATGCCCAGGTTTTTTGCTCCCTTTCCTCTGTAGATTCTGCACAAGTAGATGGCTTGTTCCTTCTTAAACCTCTATAGTACACTGGGTAAATTTTTCTAAAATCATTTTCAAAGATTTAGAGAGAAACCTCACAAACTGTCAAAGTTTCCTTAACTAGTAGGATCTCTCCAAAAAAAAAAGTCCAAGAGGAAAACTGAGAGTATTTATATTCAGTTCAATGATCCCCCTGTCAAGAGGAAAATACAAAACCTCATTTTTTCTGACCGTTATTTTATAGGCTAAACATAAACCCTACATTACAACATCCCAGAAGGAGGCAGGCAGATGGTGAACTCAAACAGCAGTGCTTCTACAGAGATGGCAAACTAGTATGGCACACTCTCGGGCACTTTCGTCTAAGGGCATAATGTGAATCGAACCAAGCAAATATGAAGAAGCAATACTAAATTCTACCGGTCCCCAAACTTTAGGGAGGAATTTCTTAGCTAATTCTTTAGAGACACATAAAAGATGGTGGTGGCAATAGGGGGTTGACTCTTGCCATGTATACTGTAGAAAAGAGATAAGAATTAGAGGTACTGATGGGCTTAACATTTTAACTACCCTGTGAGCACCACTTCACACTTCTCTCTTGCATTTTTCAACCACGTAAAGCATCATTCTTAGGGATCAGATAAGATAATGTCCAAAGCATCAGAAGAACAATGCACAGAAAAGATGTATTTGGGGACTTGTCATTAATTTGCAAGCAATGAACTGATGAACAACAACAACAAAAAATAAAAGCAAAAACTGAATGAAGATTTTAATGCATTCGTTGGAGTTAAAGAACTTTATTTAAAACTGAAGGCAATATTAGGGAGAAAAAAATCTTTCTCAATTTTTGGCTTCTGGTAGAATGCCACATAACCTGGGCAATTCTCCTAGCATTATGAATTATGAATTAGGGGTTTAGGTTAGAGAAGGTATACGTGCATTCTGATCTACCACAACCCATCTATCTTTCCCTTAAGAAAACAGAACTACATGCCAATCAATTACATGGTCAGAGTAGCTAGTCCTAAACCTCCAAATATTCTCCCTTTCTTTAAATGCTTATTACTGCACAATTATTTAGTGGAAGCTTCAATCACTGGAAAGATAGAAAATGGGGGAAAGGATGATTTACATGTTAAGATTGTCTATATCTTTTTTAAGTTTTAGGCTTGGAACCGTATTTCCTGAATAATTAGGACAACCAAGCAGCAGTAAGAAAGAAGTCTTCCTCATTTTTCCATGCCACCATAGGGTTGGCACGATCTTTACAGCCATCCCCCTAAGCCTGCATGGAGCAAGAGGGGCAGAGAAAGGGGCAGGGAGGCAGGGAGGCAGGAAGGCAGGGCACCTGGCTGGAGGGAATGCTGACTGGTGTCCCTTGCCCACTCAATCCAGTCCCAGCTAATGCATACTGTAAACTAAGAGCTACATAACCACTGTCTACATCCTTGTACTTATGAACAGAGTGGTCTGTGCCTTGGGAATCTAAACACTGAAATTTTGCTTTATAAACATCAAAGCTATTAAGAGCATCAACAAAATAGGTACAGGAAGGGGTTACAGAAGAAAGAGTTTGTGTCTAAACATTCTTCTGAGACTTTAATTTAGGTTGAATATGCAATTACTTTCCATATACATATATAGCCTCTTCTACTCCCTTTAAATGAACCCATTTCCTTTACTCTTACATACTTAAATGGGCTTGTTTTATATATTTCTTAAGTTGGAAAACTATGCATTGAACCATTTATTAAAGTATAAAGAAGAGAGTCTTTACCTCACACTTTTGGCTATTATATGTAATCACAAGGCACATTATTTAAAATAAACTGTTTAAGGATATAGGCAATTGTATAATATTTTGAAACAAACATGCTATTTAAGAACAATACATTTGTAAAATTGTAGTAATTAGACCAATATGTGCTAGAGACATCTGTTGTTCTGCAGCAATGAGAATATCTTTGAAAAGGCAGCTTGGGAGTCTCCCTACCCTGATTAACTTTAAGTTACCCCGCCCCCCTCCACAAAGGAAAGTAGAATATATATATCACTGACCAGAGGTTATTTATCCTTCTCACAATTCAGCTGAGGTTGGAGAAGACCAGGTTGTCTTATTTAGTGGGAAATGTGGGTGTTGATGAAAACAGACTTGTTTGCTACTGAAAAATAGCTTAAGAAACAAAGAAAGTACAATCCAGGCAACAGAAGAAAAAGTCAGCAAAGGGGAAAAGACAGCAACATAAACAAACCAATATTAAAAAATGGGGGAATATGGATTTCAGCAAGTTGAAAGGAATTGCTATTATCACCTTCCAAAAGGACAAAAATCAAGCCGTCAGTTCAAATGCACAACCAAAGGGTCCAATGAAAACTAACCACTGACAGTTACAAAGAAAAAAAAACAAACAAACAGAAACGGCAATTTCACCTTGGGGGACAAGAACATCCCCTACCCTGCCATGACCACTCTTCACTGTGACAATGCCGGGTTCCTTTCAGCTTACTTGTACAGAAGGTGGTCTCAGTTGTGACAAGAATTCTGCCATCCAAGTGATGGGTAAACACACAAACAGAAAGAGCAGCACGTCCTGAGTGACACAGACAGCAAAAGCTTCTCCGGAAGAGGTGCAGTCAGTGAAGACAGAGAGAGAGAGGAAGTGAAAGTGAAATTCTGGGAGGGAGGCCCCCTCCTCCTCGCCACCTACCATGGGTTTTAGCTCCCTGGCATCAGCAGCGCCTCCCTTACCAGCTTCTTTCAGTGCTTTCCTACTGTTCTCCACAAACTCCTGCAAAACAGGGACCAAGTGGCACACATTCTTAGGTCCTTTCACATTTCGGCTGGTAGATAAATTCTAAAGAACGTTCACATTTTTGACTCAATATTGGGAAATGGATGGCCTAAAACCATAGCAATAAATAATATTTAGTGTGAGACACAAGAGTGGCTAAGTTTATGGGAATGAAGTGCAATCTGTTGGTATGAAATCTTTTTTCCATCCATTCACTGTGACAAGCTTACTTAATGATAATATTAAGAGATAATGTTAGTGCTAGGCCAAAGAGAAAATAGCTAACTTAAAAAGAGAAAAAGACTATTTTCCCACACTTAGAATAGTGTTTTATTGATTGATTTACTTTTTCCATATCATGGTTAAAGGGAACAACAGAAGCATTGTACTCCATAAGCCTACTTTTTAATAATTCTAGAAGGCAAAAGAAAGCAGTGGTACTACTAAGCACAGAATACTGCTTTTACCAAACCATAAATAAGCTGCTTTAAGAAAAAGTCTACCTGGACTTGAAATTACTCCATAAAGGAGAAAGACAGGGAGTAACAACCAGAACCTGTACTTGAGATGGATTTGCCCCTAAGAAAACGTTTCTATCCTGTCAAAGCACTTCTCTGTTAAATATCCTCATCATTCTTACAGAGAAAACTAAAAGAAGAAAAACTGTATTTTTTACTCTGCTTTTGATCAGTGGCTTAAAAACAAAAATAAATGCTTCTCCTAATGTCTTAATCACAAACGAGATGCAATTATCATAGGCCAAATTTCATTATGAAAATATCCAAAATTTAGTTGGTGATGTGTTTGGTAAAAGAGATAATCAGTACTAAATAGGTCAGTTAACTCATTTGGTATTTTTGTAATTGAAAAAAAAAAAAACCCAAATAATCTAGTTTATTTATTAACATATTTATTTATTAACATATTAAATAAATAAACTGAATTTAAATCCATGCTCCTGGAAGATGACTTACTATTTCAATATCTAATGTTTAGTCTTCAATATTATCCACTCTTAAGATAGAAATACTTATTAACAGCTTAATAGCCAGGTACTATTATTATTATTTTATTTATTTTATTTTGTTTTTTTATCCTCACCTGAGGACATTTTTTCATTTTTTGTTCAGATAGAGTGAAAGGGAGAGAAAGGAAGAGAGAGAGAAACATCGATGTGAAAGGGATGGGCATTATCCTGTACACCAAAAGGTTGCAGGTTCGATTCCTGGTCAGGGCATATACCTAGGTTGCAGGCTCGGTCCCCAGTTGGGGGTGCGTATGGAACATAACCAATCGATGTTTCTCTCTCTCTCTCTGTCCCCCTCCCTCACTCTAAAAATCAATAAATGTATTCTCTGGTGAGGATAAAAAAAGCATCTTTAATTTTGTAGCATCTAGTATTTAAATCATTTAATATACTAGTTTCTAAATTTTTAAAAAGATTTAATTAAGATTCTAATACAGGGAAGCTGCAGAGGCTACATAATTATAAAGAATCTGAATAAATACCTGTGTAAAGGTTCAGATCTTAAATAATATTAAACAATACAATCTACCAGTCATGGGTCTGTTAATCTATATTCATTAGAAAATGCCTTTAATTTGGCCTGGCATATTTAGGATAATGAGTTTTAATGGGGTTGACAGCAATAATACTTGAGAAGGTGGTAGATGAAAAAATACATGTAGGTACTAACTACAACTTGGGAAATAAAGAATTTTTGTCCTTGAACCTCACTTCAGGAAAGAGCACTTAGAACACCAATGGTCCAATGTTCTAATTTAAGAGGTCGCTAGTTCAATTCCCAGTGAGGGCACAGGCCCAAGTTGTGGGCCAAATCCCCAGCGAGGGGCATGCAGGAGGTGGCCAATCGATGTGCTCTCTCATCGATGTGTCCATTTCTCTCTCCCTCTTCCTTCCTCTTTCTATAAAATCGTAAAGAAAAATTTTTTTTAAAAAAGTCAACCTATAATACTGTCAACAATAATATATATATATATATATATTAAAAAAAAAATCTTTGCTTTCCTCATAAAAAAATAAATAAAAAGTCAATTCAAACCCGTCTAGCCCTGGCCAGTTTGGCTCAGCGGTTAGAGCGTCGGCCTGCGGTCCGGAGAGACCCAGGTTCGGTTCCCGCTAAGGGCACGTACTTCGGTTGCAGTTTGTTCCCGGCCCTGGTTGGTCGTGCGGGTGGCAGCCACTCGATGTGTCCCTTTCACGTTGATGTTTCTCTCTCTCTCTCTTCCTCTCTCTCCCTCCCACTCTATCTGTACAAAAGATGGAAAAATATCCTCGGGTGAGGATAAAAAAAACAAACAAACAAACAAAAAAACCCGTCTAACTGCAGAGGAGCAGGCAGCAGTACAGAATAGTGTGAACTCAGGTCTGTTAATGGGCAATGCTCTAGCTAGGTGGATTAAAATGGTCTCATCCATGCCAAGAGGGCTCTCTTCCCTGATTCCCCCAAGACTAACCTCATTTATGAGTGTTACAGGTTTAATTTTATTAGTATTTTTATCCCTAAAGCAGTAGAGGGCATTTGAAGTACTTACCATCAGTACTTTATCCATATAGAATTCTCTGCCAGGGCTCCCATCATTGTACTTTGTATCAATGGCAAAACACAAGAATAATACATCCACTACCATTTCATAAATGGACAGGAAGCAATGAGCGACTAGGAAAGCAAAGAGGCAGACGATGATCAGAGGCAGCACCCACACTGTGTAATCCTGCTGGTAGTTGAGCAGCATAATCCCAGCCAAGCCCGTGCAGCAGACGATCAGCACCTGAGGCAGACAGAACAGGGACCACATTTAATACCCTGCTGCAGAAAACCACTACTTCTTCAACATCTGCAGATTTAAAATTCTCTTTACTACTTATATATGATGGTCACATGAGTACACTCCATCTCAAATTGGAAAATATAGTTCATATATATGTATATGAATTATATATATGTTATATATATAAATAAAACAGTTATACATGTAATATCATATATATATATGTATAACATGTCACCTAAATTTAAAAAACATCTTTGTTGACATTAAAAATAACCAATTTTTCCAAATGTTACGCTCATTTTCTAAAGCTTCCCTTATTGAACACCTGTGGCAATTTTTAAGACAAATGTACCCATATTTTAGAAAAAAACTTATGCATATTATTAGCACTCAGAAGAAAATTACTGACATTTCAGGGTATTTCTATGGGTATTTTTCTAAGCATTTTTACAATTATAAAATAGTACTGTATAAACAAATAATTAAAAGCTCTTCATTAATATTTATAGTATCATTATGAATGTTTCATAAATACTTATTCAGCTACATAATTTCATTTTATGGGTGATTTAAAATGTATTTAACGATTCTCCTACAGTTGGAGACTTACTGTTTTCAGATATAAATAATGCTGCAACAAACATCTCTAAAAACTTTTTCTTCTTTAAACTTATCTTTATTGTTGAATGTGTTACAGATGTTCCTCCTTTTCCCCCTATTGACCCCCTCCTCCCCGCTCCCACCCCCCTCCTGCCTTTCCCCACACTGTTGTCTGTGTCCATTGGTTATTCATATATGCACATAAGTTCTTTCGTTTGTTTCTTCCCACTCTCCCACCCCCTTTGCCTTTGAGGTTTGTCAGTCTAACAACCAGTTTGTACTTTTTTTTTATCCTGACCCAAGGACATTTTTCCATTTTTTGTTCAGATAGAGTAGGAGGGAAAGAGAGGGAGAGAGAGAGAAACATCAACGTGAAAGGGACACATTGAGTAGCTGCCACCCACGCAACCCAACCAGGCTGGGGACAAACTGCAACCAAGGGGGACAAACACACCCCTAGCGGGAACCAAACCTGGGTCTCCCTGGACCACAGGTTGACGCTCCAACCACCTAGCCAAACCGGCCAAGGCCAGTTTGTACTTATTAATCCTTTCACCCTTTCACACACTTCGCCCAACCCCTCTCCCATTTGGCGACCAACAAAATGTTCTCTGTATCTATGAGAATGTTTCTGTTCTGCTTTTCATTTTGTTTGTAGAGTCAATTGTCAATAGATATGTATTTATTGCTATTCTGTTTGTTCATAGTTTTGGTCTTTTTCTTCAAGAAGACCCTTCAACATTTCATATAATAATGGTTTGGTGGTGATGAATTCCTTTAGCTTTTTCCTGTCTGGGAAACTCTTCATATGTCCATCAATTCTAAATGCTTTGCAGGATAGAGTAATTTTGGTTGTAGGTTCTTGCTTTTCATCACTCTGTTTCTTGCCACTCCCTTCTGGCCTGCAAAGTATCTTTTGAGAAATCAGTTGACAGTCTAATGGGAGTTCCCTTGTAGGTAACTAACTGCTTTTCTCTTGCTGCTTTAAAGATACTCTTTGTCTTGAACCTTTTGCATTTTCATTATGATGTGTCTTGGTGTGGACCTCTTGGGGTTCATCTTATTTGGGACTCTCGGTGCTTCTTGGACTTGTATGTCTGTTTCCTTCACCAAGTTAGGGAAGTTTTCTGTCATTGTTTCAAATAGGTTTTCAATTTCTTGTTTTCTCTCTTCTCCTTCTGGCACCCCCAAGATGCAAATGTTGGCATGCTTGAAGTTGTCCCAGAGGCTCCTTACACTATCCTTATTTTTTTGGATTCTTTTTTCTTTTTGCTGTTCTGATTAGCGATTTTTGCTTCCTTATATTCCAAATTGATGTTTTGCTTCTTGGCTTCACCTACTCTATTATTGAATCTCTGTAAATTATTCTTTATTTCAGTTAGTGCCTCCTTCGTTTCTGACTGGTTCTTCTTTATGCTCTTGAGGCCCTCACTAAGTTCACTGAAGTTCTCACTAAGGTCATTGAGCATCCTTATAAGCAGTGTTTTGAATTCTGAAACTGTTAGGGAGGCTAGGAATCACTTGGGAAGTTTGTGAACAATGCAGATTCCTGGGCCATGCCCCCTCAGATTGTTTGGATCTAAGCCCAGCAATATTCATTTTAAAGGTGCCCCAGGTGCCCAGCCAGTATGGATCAGTGGTTGAACATCAACCCATGCACCAAGAGGTCGCTAGTTTGACTCCCTGTCAGGGCACATGCCCAGGTTGTGGGCCAAATCTCCAGTAGAGGGCATGCAGGAGGTGTCAGTTGATGTCCTCTCTCATTGATGTTTCTAACTCTCTCTTCCTCTCCCTTCCATTCTCTCTAAAAATCAATAAAGAAAAAACAATATTAAAAAATAAAAAAAGTGCCCCAGGTGGTTCTCACACAGTCCACAGCCTACAAGAAGTACTGGTCTGTATCAGCAATCTCTGTGGTGAAGTACGCATATCCAAGGGAATGTTCAAGACAATCACCTGGAGCTGCTACTTATATTTCTCATGTATTTAAATGTTCTTTTATTCTATGCTTTATAATGCATATATTAGTAAAGGCTAGACATATATCATTAATAAATAAATTGGGGAAGTGTGTGCAACATTTTTTTTGTAATAAGATGCATGATTTCAAAAGTTCAGGCACTTTTGTTCTAGAGGATGCATTATTAGTGATATAGGAGAAGAGATTCATACACAGGTAAGATGTGAGAAGAAGGAAGAAAAAGATGCTAGTTTTGGAGTCAGAAAGATGTAGCTTTGAGTCGGAGTTAGTACTCTTAGTTTTATGACTCTAAGTAAGCTCACTGACCTTTTCTGAGCCCCTTTTCCATCTTTAAAAGAGACATAATAGTACATACATCCCACACTCTTATTTTATGTTAAAATAAACACTCTCAAAGCATTAACACAGAGCCTGGCAATCTTAGCTTCTTTCTTTCTTTATTTTTGCCACCATAAATCTTGCATTTATGATGCCCTTTCCCCATGGAACTCCTGTTTTGAAAGATTGGTTTACCAATAAAACAGCATTTATAAGTAATAATTCATATTCTCATTTTTTATTAATCAAAACAAATAAACTGCCAATAATAACATATAATTAGTGTTAGAAAAAGAATGATAAAATAGAGGTAAAAATAATTTCACACAGAAGCAAAAAAATTTGAGATTTTGTTTCTTTAGTAGAGCTGTTAAGGGGCAAATATATAATATGTATTAGACTTAAAAATGTTTAAAGCGCTTGTAAATCTCTAGTCTTACCTTTGAGGACTCTGTAGGCCAGTGATGACACGTCACGAGCCACTATAATGAGGAGTTATGGGCCCTTCCAAATCTAATTTACCATTCCATGAAACCATCAAGTCTCCATAGAAATGGAATCCATGACATTGACTTTTGTATTCTTTTTAAATATGGGGTTTTTAAAATTAAATGAGAAATCTTGAGATACTTGTAAATTTGCATGCGGTTGGAAGAAATAACACAGGATGATCCCATGTCACCTTTACCCAGTTCCCTTCTAGGACAACATCTTGTAAAACTACAGTACAATTTCACAACCAGGGCACTGACATTGACACAGTCAAGATACAGAACAGTTCCATTATCACAAGGATCCTTCCTCAGCCTTTCATAGTAGCCCTACTTCCCCCCAACCCATCTCTTACCTGGGCGACCACAAATCTGCTCTCATTTCCACAATGTTTTCATTCCAAGAACGTTATGTAAATGGAATCATACAGTATTTAACCTGGGATTGGCATTTTTCACTGAGCACATTTACCTCAAGATCCATCCAAGTCATTGTGTGTGTCAATAGTTTGTTCCTGACACTGTCTTTTATTATGATCTATCTAGTCGAACTACCTGATCAGAAACTACTTCTGCATGCTAGCCGCCACTTAACTGTAATGAAACAAACTCTGTTCAAAACAATTTATTGTATTCTATGATCAGAACTGTATTTTTAAAACAGGGAAACTACAAAATTTATCTTAGTATGTTGGGAACTCAGGAGATTTTCTTTCCTCTTAATTTTCTCCTTTTTGGATTTCTCAATTAACAAAATGTTTATCTTTCATGATTTTAAAGTTTTTTTAAAATAATATTATAATTACATTATTCAAATTTATATCTTTCTGGAAAGCAATTTCACAATGCATATCAAGAACCCTGTACTCTGACTCACTAATTCCACTTCTAAGATTCTGGCCTCAGAAATGAGTATTCATGTGGACAGGATTTGTACACAAAGGTTTCACTGCAGCATAGTTTATATGAGTAAAAAAAAAAGAGAGAGATGGGGGGGAATCAGTAGGGGAAAAAGGAGAAACATCTGTAACAAAAAGAAATTAATTTAAAAAAAAGAGAACAATTTAACTGAAAACAAAAGCAGGGACTTGGTTAAATAAATAATACAGTAATTGTATAACCATATTTAAAATACTTTTAATAAAATAAAAAATATTCATAATATAATACAAAATGAAAAGAGGGATACAAACTGTCTTTTCAACTGGATTTTAAATTTTCTTTATTGACTAGTATATGATCAATACCCAGAATAGTCCCTTGGACATTACTTAAACACGCTAGAAATATTTGTTGAATGAATAAAAAAAATTATGAAAACCTAAAGAAAATATTTTGATGGATAGGTCACTAAACTGCTGAAAAACTCAAAGCCAATTTTAAAACACTGTATTTCATCATCTATATATTTTTCCTTTAAAAAGTGAATGCATACTTAATATATAGAACTTTATTTTATTATGGTAAATTAGGGGGAGAGGTTTGGAATCATTCATATTTTCAATATCTAAAAAGATAAGCACTATTAACATTTTGAGATACCAATTTTCATTTTTTTATGCACATTTTAAAACAAACAGTATAGTGATAGTGTAGCAGCTTTACTCTGCATTTTCACTTAATGTATTACATACATTATCATATTATAAACTCTTAATAAAAAAATGATGTAATAGGTGAATAATAATCTGTTATTATTTCCAACCATTTCTCTATGGTTAGTTTACAATTGATCACTGTTACAAATAATGCTCTATTTTTCTGTACTTAAAATTATTTTTAGCAGTGGTGTGCCATCATTAGAATTACTGAATCAAAAGACTTTTTGAAAAACGGCCGAAGGGTAAATGTAATGTCAGCTGAAGCAAGTATAGCACATAGTGATTACAAACGTGGATGTCAGGCCTGATTTTGAGCTCCCCGTCTACCACATTCTAGTTCTCTAAAGCTGAGCAATTTACTTAGCTCTCTGAACTTTATAAAATAAAGATAATAGTAATAGCTCACCTTCCAGGGGAGGCCAAATATAACCCTTCCCATAAAACTCTCCCCTGAGTACCTGATAGCCAGCAAGTATCTCAGAATTTACTAAAATCACCATTATGATCAAATGTTACCACTTAGTATAATTTTCTCCCTTAGTACAATTTATTCCTTCACATGGCTTCTAATTTCCCTTTTACTTTAATTGCTCTGTGTATGTATTTTTTTTTATTTTAAGTTGTTTCATATCTTTCTTAGCAATAGGGATAAATTACAAATATGTAAGAAATAAACAAAAAACCTGAAGCCTCCCAGAATTAGTCACCTAGCATATAAATCACACTAACAGCACAGTCAGGCACTGTATTTAGTCTTTGACATGGATTAACTCATTTAATCCTTCCTATAAAAAAAAAAATCTCTTATTGTAAAAACATGACAAAACAAATCCAACAGTCATGATGTAAGTTTAATTATAAATTTTCAAAATAACTTTCTGCACAGTTTTAGAGTTTCTTTTGGATGACAGTGGCTTAAGAACTTAGAACCACACAGTATTATCAATGCCTCTTTACACCAAATATTTTTTCCTTTCACCTTTTAAAAGCACAGTGGCTGGAGAAACCTAAGTGTTTGGCAATAACAAGAATAGCATTTGATGGAATACTGACCATTATGACAATGAATAATTATGAAGATTATCAAAGCAATATGAAAAATGTGTACGACATAATGTGAAGTGAAAAGGGCAGAGCAAACAGATATGTATGCTACGAGTGTTATTCCATAGAAATATAAGCCTACAAAAAAACACTGGGAGACAAGATATAAACCTGGTAAGTTATTAGGTTATAGTGGTGGTGCCTTTTACTTAACTCAAATTTTGAGTATTTTATGGTTTAATAAAATAAACACAATAAAATCCAGTTATATTATTATTTTGCAGATTTTAATAGTAATATACAATAAATTACTTCTTCTCAGACACTTTTAATGACAGTCAAGTCTCATTCCTCAACAGCTCTATTTTAAAGGGGTCTTTATACAGTAATGATGACAGCTAACATTTATTGAGAACTTATAATGCATCAAGCAATGTCTTAGGTACACTACATGTATTTTTTTTTTTTTTAATTTTTTTTCTAATTATCCCCATAGTTCTGTTTTTTAGGACTTATCTTTTTTTTTTTTTATCTCCATTTTTTGTTCAGGTAGAGTGGGAGAGGGAGAGAGAGGAACAGAGAGAGAGAGAGAGAAACATCGACGTGAAAGGAACACATGGAGTGGCTGCCACCCGCACAACCGACCAGCGCCGGGGACAAATTGCAACCGAGGTACGCGCCCTTAGCGGGAACCGAACCCGGGTCTCTCAGGACCGCAGGTCAACGCTCTCACCACTGAGCCAAACTGGCCAGGGCAGTACACTACATGTATTAACCAGTTTAATCCTCACAGCCCTAAGGGTTTGGCATTATTATTATCCTAAATTTATACATGAACAAACTGAGGCACAGAGGGTTATGTACCCTGCCTCAGGTCACTCAGCTAATAAGTGAAAGAGGCAGGATTTAAATCTAGGCAGTCAAGCTCCACCTGCAAGACTCCTAACCACTACACAGACTATTACTTAATTTTTTACAGTTTAAAATATGTAAGAGAAACATAGGCAAGGTACATTTAACTACCCTGTGCCTGTTTCCCCAGCTGTAAAATGAAGCTATCAATAGACCTTCCTTTATAAATCTGTGTGAGGATTAAATGAGCACACACGTAAGGTACTTAGAAAGGTGCCTAACACATATTAAGGGCTTTGTAAATGTTTGCTATATATTGTTACTTTTAGTGTTTTGGTGGGCTAGATGCTTTTGAAATTAAAGAGCAAATATATAATGCAAACATTTACAGTATGTCTCAGATAGTGTACTTGGTCTTACCTTGCCTAGGAATAACATGAAATCCCCCACTGTGTTGATGGCAGCCACTCGCAAAGCATTCTCCACGAGAATGACAAAGGCATCCTTCGCCGAGGTGCAGAAGTTGGTGCTGTTGATTGCTGTGGCTGTGTACGCGTTCTGGACACAAGCAAAAATAGTATTTTCATCAATAAATGTAATCTTACCCAGTTAAAATAGAAACTAAGCATAATTAAGCATAGCTTGTAAAAATATTTCACAATTAAGCCCATGGCATTGGTGAGGTAGAGTAAGGTGAAGCACAAGAAAATATAAGATATTAAAAAATATACCTGCTATGCTAAAAATAACTTTTCAGTTGGCTTAGTTTCAGTTCTTTGAAGACACTGATATTTATGAAAACACATACTAACTAACCTTTCCCACATCTATGAACTTCTTCCCTGTCTTAGGAAATCAAACATATCGAACCTCTCCTAAATATCTCAGTTCGAGGCAGTACTACCATTCCAGCGATGCTTTAAAAGCCACACAAATGGCCCTGGCCGGTTTGGCTCAGCGGCTGGAGCATCAGCCTGTAGACCAGAGAGTCCCGGGTTCGGTTCCTGCTAGGGGCACGTACCAAAAAAAACAAAAAAAAAAACAAAAGCCACACAAATGCGTGCAGGCATCAGATTGCCGTGTGTTTAACCTGGAACACCTACCGTTTCCTCCTTGGTGCTTTCTTCTCTGCTGTCACTTCTCACAGCTCTCGTAGCAACAGCTGTTTGCTGCCCAGTATTTTACACCCTCCATTCTGAGAGCAGGACCTGAACGCTCCTTTGAGAAAACAGCCCTTCCCTGTTGTCTTAAGTGTCTGAGTGGAGTTGACACCACCTTCAGCTGCAGGCGTGGGCAAGGACAGGCTCGGAAACGAGCACATAAACTAATCGGAGCCAAGGAAAGCAAAAGATATTCCCTGGGGCTTCTGGGAGAAAGAGTTTCCTTTCTCATCCATAGGTGCTCCTGACAGAGCACTCTCTCATTTTCCTTGGTAAGGAGCTGTGAGGGTATGAATTGCCATGATGTTTCATCAACATAATGGGAAGAACCTAGAGCTGCTGGAGGTCACAGTGTGAAACCAAGGGTGAGGCTGACACCATGGAAGTCAGAGCGGAGAGAAACCAGGTTCCTGCACTTGGTGACAGTATTTTGCATCATTAGGAACTAGCCAGATTTCTGGACTTTTCAGTTACAGAAGCTAATATATTGCTAAGACTCTCCCCCCTCTCCTTCCTTCCCACTCCCTTCTCTCTCTCTCTTTTAGGTCAGATTGATCTGGCTTTTTGTCCCTTGTAGTACTGAGTCCCAGATGACACACTTTTATTCCATTACACCTGCTTCTGCTGCCCATGTCCTCTTTGACTAGGTACAGACTGATTTTTTTCCTCTTATTTTGACATTACATTTTAGAAGAGCATTGGTATTTTCTGGGAAATTGTGCATAAGTACTATAACATCAAATATGTGTAAGTCTTAGGAAAGAATATGAATTTTGTGACTAAAACTTTTGGCCCTGAGGAATTTCTGTGGGTTCCGAATGCTGAAGATGCTGGAAGACTGCTGGACACGAAGGCCTGGCTGTGCAGTCTTGTCCATAAAGCTTTAAACACTGAGCTAGGGAGAGACCGTCTCTAATTTATGAATGTTCCAACTGAATGCTTGTTAGTTATTAAGAACCTGGTATGGAGAAGAGGTTTGACTCATCAAAAATGTAATTTGCCATTATATGATTAAATTCACTGATTAAAAATGCAAAGCATTTCAGGGCCAAGGAAAGAGTCCTGTACGGAGCCGATCGCTACTTAAGGTTCATAAACTTTTCCAGTAATGCAGCAGTAGGAAATGACGGTGCCCTTTGAGAAACACTGTGTGATTTTAATTTGTGAAATGTGATCACACAGATTGGGGTAATTTATTCTCAAAATATATGACTATATTATGTTTGCAGGCCTTTGTATCTCAAAAGCTAATACACACAGAATTCTACAGAAATCATCCTGTTAAGTTTTTCTCAGCATTCCTGCTTGCTCTCTTCTGTTGTCGTCTCTGCTTCTTCTCAGCTCTGGGGTCGCAGGCACCAGAGAGTTAACTACCTAACCGCAGTGGCCCACATCTCTTCATCGTCTACAAAGCTCCTCTTGAAACAGTCTGCCAAATGCCTCAGTGATATCAAAATAACCATACTTTGATCCTGTGCAATAGTAATTCTATTGAAAAACGATGGAGAATTGTCCTTGCCTGAACTATTCTCAAAAAACCCAAACTAGTTCCCAGTTCTCATCAGTTACCTATGTGCTCACTTAAAAAACAAAAACAAAAAACAAAAAACCCCACTCAGCAATTTATTCTAATGCAGGGGTCTTTTAACTACTGCCTGTGGGCCAAATCTTGCCTGCTGCCTACTTTGTAAATAAAGTTTTATTGAAACACAATGAAATAGAAATCTGACGATGCTCATGTCCCTTACATAAAATGGCACAGTATTTGCATATAACTAGCATGTATCTTCCTGTATACTTTAAATCATCTCTAGATTATTTATAATACTTAAAATATAAATGCTATGAAAATAGTTGTTATACTGCATTGTTTAGGAAATAATGACAAGAAAAAAAAGTCAGTACATGTTCAGGACGGATGCAGCCCTCATAGGCCTAATACATAGTACATGCCAACAACAGCAATCACATCCCCCCACACACAATGTTTTTCATCCATGGTTGGGTAAATGTGAAATCTGTGGATATGAAACGTGAATATGGAGGGCCAACTGTACTGAATAAGTTTTTCAGAGAAAAATACGTCACCATATTTTATATGTGTGTGTGTGTATAAAACACAATGCTTCCTGAACTATAAAAAGCATTATGTCTAGAATCAAGGATACTGAACAACCCATTTAAATCAACTATGTATTGTCTTAAATCCAACTGCTGAGCCAAACCGGCCAGGGCCAAACAACTCTCTCTTAACTATGCTGTTCTCCCTGTGCAGTCTGAACATGACTTCCTTTGAAAGACGAGACGGAAGCAAGAGAGGACTCCAGGAGCAGGCCCAACACTTCCAGCGTAAACTGTAAATGCTTTTTCGTTGCCCTCATTAGTTTCCAGGAGTGTCAGCTTATTTGAGAACTATTATTATTCCTCCTCCTCTGCTGCTGCTTCCTTCCTAACCCTGCCCCATCCATTCCATCTACTCCTAGAGCAGAAGCCCATTTATCTGTGGACATGGAAGGAGGTAGGATTGATTTCTTTTCTCCACTCCTCAGTTCCAGGATCAGATAAGCTCACAGAAACTTAGCCTTTTTGGCAACATTCCTACAAATCTGTACATTCAACCTAACTGAAAACAGCGAGTGGATACTTTACAAGCTTTCCCCCACTCCCACGGCAGCTAGAGGAGCTGCGTGTGATACACAGAGGTCAAGATGATCTCTTCAGAAAGAAAAACATGCTACAGATCACAGTAGGGCAGTGTCATTTCGCTCCGCTTCTATACCTCCTAGTCTAGCAGGATTTGCACTAAGGTCCTCAAGAAATTCTGAGTCCTTTGCAGCTTTCTTGACAGCGTTCCACAGCTCGGCTAGACCACACACAGAGAGGCATCGCTGATGAACATTTTGCCCCAGCCCAACATCTGCTCAGGCCAGACATAGGCTTGTAACTAATGAACTCCTGGAGCAAGATGAAAGTTGATTAGCATGCAGGAACCTTTCTGAAAGGATACCTATTAGCCCAAGTGGTCACTGGTAGCATTTTTCTGTGACAGGGTATCGTGGAAGTAGTGACCATGGGGAAGACACATGTCAGGCCAGAGGTCACCACACAGGTAACTCAGACCATCTGACCCAGGGCACGGCCTCCAGAGTCTCACACTTTCCTGTCTTCACTTAAGGACCTAGAAATTCAAAATGTAAAATCTTACACAACAGCTCCCTTAATAAGGGCAAGCTAGGCAGCAATGGTAGGAAAAGGTAAGTAGGATATGTGCAGCTCTGTGTGTGGATCATTATAAATTCAATAAGGAAAAAGGCCGTTACAATGATCCCTTTCTTTTTCTGAGTGAGGAATGGATGGGGCACAAAGTCACACATGTACCATAGATTTCACTCAGGAGGGTCATCAGAGTTACACTGAGGTTGCCCATCTAAATTCAAACAAATTGGCTTTAAAAGAACTTGTCTTAGTTTACAGCATAGTTGTTAAAAATTTGAAATTTTTTTTTTATCCTCTATGATCAGCTATACTTTAGTGTTCTTTATATTGCACAAAATGTGTAGATATTTATACAAGAGGCAGTGTGATATCAAGGCAAGAACTGGGCAAACTTAGATTCGAAAACTTCCTGCACTTCTAGCTTATGTGATTCGTCATGAAATGCCAGTCTCAATGTTCTCATCTCTAAAATGGGGGAAATGAGCCTTCCTTACAGAGTTGTACAGAGAAAGTGATTGTGTGTGTGTGTGTGTGTGTGTGTGTTTGTAGTGCTTAGTAGAATATCAGCCAGTGTGCTCAAAAAAATATTCTCTACAACTCCTACTCATACTATATAGAGAAAAGCGTTATAATCTTAAGAGCTTATCAGCCAGAGAGCAGATACCCTCCAGTGTTAAATGTACTGTCTCCAAATAGTGCCAAAGTAAACCAAGGCCTGAGTAATCCAATGCCCAAGAGAAACAGATTCTGGTTGTTAAAAATCTCTCTTCCTAAAGTGAATTCTACCTATTAAATTAGATACATAATCATCTTCATATCACATTAAGATTAGCATCTACGTACACAAAGAGCAACTCACAGTTCACTCTGTTTATTTGCAAAACGCTAACACCTATGCGGTATACACTAAATGGCTCATTTAAAATACTCAAGCTCTGTTTTGAAGCCAGCTGTCCTTCCCATGCGGTGTGGCCCCAGAGCACGGCTGGGGATTAGCAATTTCATGTGGTGCTGCAGAATGACTCTGGCCTACTCTACCTCCATATCAACACCCTTCTTTACTATTATCTTCCAAATCTTTTAAAGCAGAGGCAACAAACTGGTGGCCCATGGACAACTGATGTTATGTGGCCTCAAGACACTCACTCAGAGTTTTTTTTAAAGAACTATGGCTAGAGTAGACAAATCCTCAGGGACAATCAAAGATGAAAGAATAGGAATTAAAGCATAAGAGATAAATGTCTTTCCCAAGATATGAACCCCAATATTTTATCCACATATCACAACTAATTAATAATGAACCTTGGTAAGAATGTAGGTTACTTTAAAAAATAAGAATATGATTGAAATAGCCTGGCCAGTGTGGCTCAGTGGATTGAGCATCGTCCCATGGACTGAGAGGTCCTGGTTCAATTCTCGGCCAGGGCACATGCCCGGGGTTGTGGGCTCCATCCCCAGTAGGGCGCGTGCAGGAGGCAGCCAATTGATGTTTCTCGCTCACATCGATGTTTCTCGTTCTCTCTCTAAAAATCAATAAAAACATATTTTAAAAAAAGAACATGATTGAAATAGAGATACTTTTGATCAAGGCACAATATACAGCACCATGAGAAAAACACAACACCTTTCAATTAAGCTCAATCATTCTCTCTTTGCAGAAGGAACGACACACCTATCTTTAAAAATGGATGTTAGATTTAATTTTTAAATATTTTACCTGATTTAAATAATTGAGGCACTTTTCAAGACACCAAAGGCAACAAATGCAAGATTTCAGCACACATCGAGCACAGGCATTTTCCTGGAAGGAGGAAAAGTTGAAATAATTATAAAAAACCAAAGAATTAAACCATCATAAAGAATACTCCAAATGTTAAAAAAAAAAAATAAAAATCACAACCTATCCTTCAAAACTTTCACACCCACCTTTTTTTCCCCCTAAAATGTAATGTCTGAATTATTTTTAATCAGTTCAACATTTATTTAGTACCTATTTCACATAAGGTATAGTGAGGTACAGGAGACCAGCAAGGCACTTACAATCTAGGAGGGAAAAAATGCTAAATATAAAAAAGGTTAGAATCAGAATATGACATAGGTACCATCGATTGGAGTACAGAGAGAGACAACATTTGGGAGATGGGAGGGATCGGGGAAGGTGTCTCAGAACAGGTGGCGCTTGAGCTAAGCTCTGTTGAAATGCATGTTATTTCCACGCTCAAGGATGAGGCAGAGGTTCTAAGGAGGAAGGTGTGTGAGTTGACACAGAGGAAGAGAAGCACAGGACACTTTTGGAAACCAGTCTAAGATGGATTTTGCTAGAGCATACAGAGTGCAACAGTCGGGGGTGAGGGAGTAAGGACAGGGTTCCCCTTTGCCAGGACTTTGAAGAAAACCATTTGCAGCTTGGACATGACATCACTGGGTGCTTTACTATGTGCAGAAGTGAGGTCTGGAAGGTGCCCACGGAAAGTCCAGAGAAGTATTTTCCACTTACCTTTCCCTTCAGCTGGCTGTGCATGTACATAAGGATCATTCGTGGAATTTTGACCAATGTGATGATGAAAGATCCTTTGGCCACAGTTCCAAGGTGATAACGAATAAGGCGATTTACTGATGCCAAAATAGGTGTAAATGGCAAATTCCTTTTATCCCTATTTTAAAAATGAACAAAAAGACAATTAAAACAAAGGCCAGGCCAGGATGGAAACACAGAAATGGTTTAGAGTCCCATGCAATGAAAAACTAGTTCATGCTTCTTATTCTAGCTTTACGACTAGAATAGACATCTCCTTCCACTTCCACAACTAAAATAAATGCTACCGATGTACCACATAAAATTAACATTTCATTTCTCTACTGTAGTTCCATGGGGTTCTTATGCGCTAATATTTTAAGTTAAATAAAACTGTGCCTTGAAAGCTCATATTAGTCAATACTATGGAGTTAATTGCACAATCAGAAAATGGAACTTAAAATGATGTTCAGTCTGAACATCATTACAATAGAAAATGATAAGGCCGACAGTAGATATTTAGCTCTAAAGTTAGGAAAACGAGTTATACAACTGTTCTGATACAAATAAAAAAAAAAAAGACTTGTTTTCCTTTGATGGACTTTCAGATAAAGCAAAAGTACCTAAGACACTACTACAAGATTTAGTCTTTTGCTAAGTATAATTTACGTTACATCAGGGCCTGCCATTCTGATTCATTTTTGAATAAGTTTTAGAAAACCGTATGAATAAAACAACCTCTAGTTGTGCTCCCTCCCAGAAGGATCAACCATTGCATTTCCTCTTAGTCACTTCCAATGACTTCTTAAAGAAGTGACACTCGACAAGCCTCAGTTCCAGTCCCTTCAGGCATAATCACTGAGATGATCTCCAGTTTTCTGACAAGTATAAATTCTCACCTAGTAAAATAGTATGTCACCACGGCTCCTGCCACAGTCATCTGCTGACAGGCCAGAATGAATTCACTAATCCAGATCAGGCCTACCACATGGTACCACCACATGTACTGCAGGGGCCCAGAAACCCTGAACTCCACGAAGCCTTGCTCGTTCTTCACGGCGCTGCCTAGGAAAGATAAGGACGGAAAGGAGAATTGCAGAAAGTATAAACCCAAAATATGGCTACTAAACTTCAGAGATTAATTTCTAACAACAGGTCCCAACTTACAAACCACAAACTTATGATCACAGTGCTATTATATCAAGGGACAAAAATAATTATCATTTGGGAAGTTGGGAAGTCAAACATTATACAATTAAGTATTCTGTTTTCCCCAAAGCCATGATATATAGCTTTTAAATGTATTTTATTTGAATATAGTTCTTACCTCATTATTAGTTATTTAGTTTAGGAATGAATTTTCAAATACTTAAAAATGTTTTTTGAGAGCTATTACTTGTGTAATAACTACAGACCTAAATTATCAGCAAAGTACAGAAATTCAACTGATGAATGTATGCTGAAAGGCCAGAGAAATTACATACAAGCTTACTAACCATACACTACTTCTCACAATTAATTTCATTTCGGTGTAACTCTGACATCAAGCATGGCTACAAGCAAATCTGAGAATCTATGAACTGAATCATCACCAGGAGCTCTTCTAGGTTAGCTCATTTCCAAACTGAAAAATCCCAAGGAATCATGTTGATGATCTTTAGCTATTACTGGGGTTTGAGGCAACTCCAAAGAGGCACTGCATCCAACACGTCACCTTAGAATGGACCCAAATGTCTGAGGGAGTGCAGGAGTTTACTTCAAATCCATGACCATCGCAAGACCAGGATGTGATTTTGGGCCTTACCTGGTTAACAACCATTTTGTTAGGATGATCTAATAGCCCGGCTGGTGTGGCTCAGTGGTTGAGCATCAACTCATGCACCAAGAGGTCACCGGTTCGATTCCCAGTCAGGGCACATGCCCAGGTTGTGGGCCAAATTTCCAGTGGGGGCATGCAGGAGGCAGCCAATTGATGTTCTCTCTCATCGATGTTTCTATCTCTCTCTCCCTCTCCCTTTCTCCCTCTCTAAAATCAATTTAAAAATCAATAAAAAATAAAAAGAACCACTGTGTAATGCTGTAGGTGTTTTAGAAAAAAAATCATGATTAGAAGATGGTTTGCTGAGATGCCTCTTCAGTAACCCATTGACCAAGGTCTAATAGTTCTGATGGCTACTAGACCTTAGTCAATAATTCTTAGTCTGAAGAATTACATCTCCTTGTTGTTTTAAACATTTCAATGCTGTCCAGCCGGTATGGCTCAGTGGTTGAGCGTTGACCGATGCACTAAAAGGTCGCCAGTTCAATTCCCAGTCAAGACACATACCCAGGTTGTGGGCCCCATCTCCAGTGGGGGGCATGCAGGAGGTGGCCAATCGATGTTCTCTCTCACTGATATTTCTATTTATCTCTCTCTCTCTCACTTCCTCTCGCTCTCAAATCAATAAAGGAAAAAAAAACAAAACATTAAAAACAAATGCTAATCCAATTTACCACTAAGAGAAAGAAGCAACATGTGTTCTTACCAGCAGTGCCAAGAAAAAGAAGTGTCATGATCCAGTACACCCAAAACAGGACAAGAGCAAAGAAAGTCCAAAAGGGTTGGAAGACCAGCAGTGGCAAGTGAATGAAGACCTTGCCAGCCACATGGAACAAGGCAATAGTGAGAGCAACACGTTTGCGCATGAACAGCATTATCAGGAACAAGATAACCTGTGTGGAGAGAACGAAGGGAAAGGCTTCAGTTACTGTTTTAAGCAGTGAAAACGGAAATTAAACAATGGTGGACACTTTCACCATAACACCTTCATTCTAAAATGTGGAAGTTTCACTCTCTGAATCCCAGAAACACTTTACCAGTCTGTCTTCCTTGCAGCACTTATCATTTTCAATGCTATACTGAACATGTGCTTTAAAGCTAAATAAAAGGATTTCTAAATTTATTATTAAATCCTAGAATTCTTCTAACTTTTCCTTTCTCCATTCATTATGAATCAAAACGTGTTGTTTGCCAGACAGGATGAGACACTTAATTTATTGGAGTAGTTCCATGCTTGTCACTTTGAAACATCGGGCAGAAGACCACTTGCCATGACCACAGGAGCACTGGAGGTATTTGGACCTCGTCTCCCACTTGAGACAAGAGCTCCTTAAGAACAGGGTCCTGCCCTGGCCAGTTTGGCTCAGCGGTTAGAGCATTGGCCTGCGGTCCGGAGAGACCCGGGTTCGGTTCCCGCTAAGGGCATGTATCTCGGTTGCAGTTTGTCCCTGGCCCTGGTTGGTCGTGGGAGTGGCAGCCACTCGATGTGTCCCTTTCACATCGATGTTTCTCTCTCTCTCTCTTCCTCTCTCTCCCTCCCACTCTATCTGTGCAAAAAAATGGAAAAATGTCCTCGGGTGAGGATAAAAAAAAAAAAAAAAAAAAGAACAGGGTCCACGCCAGGTTCACCCTTTGTTTACCAGCCCTCTACCTTCCTGCCCTGGCACCTGATACAGATAACTGAGCTTAAAAGATGATTCAAAAATATTTGTACAATAATAACAAACATATATATTTTGGCACCAATGGTTTTATGATGGCTTTATTGTTTTGTTTCTAACGCTCAATAAAAAGCTTGGGATTATACCTAGAAGTGAAAGGAGATGTCTTTTTTCCTTTTTTCAGAGAGAAGGAGATGAACCAAAGATAGGAGTACAGATTACTCAACCACATGTTAATTAGTAATTTTCCTGTATAGTGGCTGGGCAGTGAAGCTCACCTATATTGTTGAAATAATGTTAACAGAAACATTTAAAAGGGAAAATGGGAACTAATTAGTAAACAGGTAAAGGAAATAACATGAGGTGACTTTTTAACATACTTTTTTATAGTAAAGAGAACTACTTTTTAAAAAGTAATTACATTATCTTGTGACAATAATGATATGTTCTATTAGTAAATAATAATGTAAATATTCCTGGTAAAAATCCTCTCACAAAGCAGGTTGTGCAGAGCAAAACGCTGCATCAGTAGCACTCATCAATTAGGGGAGCCTTCTGTGGGGCAGATTTTATCTAACAGAGATCAAGGTCAGTCATGCGATAGCCAGAGGTGAGTTTCTGCTCCATTAATAATCTCCCGTAAATAAAAGCATCAACCGGGACCGATACTCACTGTGAACACTGTAGCTGAAATGGCATAGATGAGGAGGGCCCGAAGATTGTCTTCAGCTATCTGAAGCTGTTCAGGAATAACTGTTTCTTTGGGAGACTTTCTTTGCTTTGCATACAGCCACCATAGTACACCTGTGCCACCTGGAGACAAAAACCATTGTTTTTGCAATAATCAGCACATGAAATGTGTAACAAATCCTCAATTTCCTAGACCCTTCCTAAACACATCATGGAACTAATGCAACAGCAGTCCACCTGGCTGGCAGGTGCGTGGCTGTGGCTGTTTTGCCAGCATAAGGAGAGCTCCAATCACTCCACTATCATCTTTCACATTAGACACAATCTTTCATTATATCAAATAAACTTCCTTCAACTGTGTTTATTATTGACTTTGATGCCGAGAGAGATCCAGCAAAGATAGATAGATACCCCCAAGAGGAACTAGCCACAAAGAGGGCCTCGGCATCAGCTTGAGCTGGAGAGCCTGTAGGGAGCAGTAAGAGTCACAGAAATCAGCTATGAAGCCAAGGAAGGCCAAGATCTTCCCTGCTGAACTCATCACAGTCACCCCAGCGCCAAGCGCTGACAGTCATGCAGCTGATGAAATATTTGTACGATGAATAGATGAACATCAAAAGAGTAGTTCCCACCAAAGGTAAAAACAAAGACAGAAAATCTCTGGTAGCAGTGGGTGCTAGGGATGGAAATTTTTCTCTCTATTACTGGTTCAGAGATTCCGAAAACTGGACTGAAGACAAAGGCAAACCCTTCATTCAATTCATTCAGCAAATATTTTGAGGCCTAAGAGCATCTCCTATTCTAGGTATCGGGGACACAGCAGTGAACAAAACCAAGTCCCCATCTTCACCCCTCATGAAGCTTACATAGTAATGGATAAGCAAAAAACATGGGGGAAAAAGTAAAAACACAGCATACAAGGCCTAAGAAGAAAGTTATCTAGTAAGAGGGAGAGAAAGTGCATCGGAAAGCATTGCAATTTTATGTAAGATGGGTAGGCAAGGCCTCACTGGTGAGATGAATTTAAGAAAGAGAATCAAACTCAGGGAGAGAGAAATCTATGAGACTAAGAAAAGAGTGTTCCAGGCGAGAAGTAAATTCTAAGATGCTGAGGTAGGAACATACCTGGCAAAAGAGACAGGAGGAAGCTATCGTGGCAGTGCAATGAGCAAGAGGGGTTGGGGTAGGAGACATGGGCATCGAGGTACGCGGGGACCAGATCACATGGTGAGACCTTGTAGGAAACGGAAGATTCAAAGTAGAGAGGGTGTGAGGGTGTGAGGGTGTGTGTGTGTGTGTGTGTGTGTGTATGTAGGTGCACAGGACAAATGCCTGGGAAATAAGAAACTGAGCTAAGATCTATGCAAATCAACCTAACCTCTATCACCACTTAAGTAAAGAGTAAATGGGGTAAAAGGGAAAGTCATAACCTATTGGCAGATACTAAACATAAATTTGTCTTCCATTAAAGATGAGTAAACAAACCCAAACAACCATAAGTCTATGCAAAATATTTCAGAGAAAGGGAAATATTTCTTTTTTGAAACCTTAAAGGTACAAGAAAATTATTTTTAAAACTGTTTAATATCCTCAAAAAATGGAAGAAAACATATTCTCTACAAACAGGAATAAAAAGTTATGAGAGAAAAGGTCAAGTTCAAAGAACACTGAATGAGATAACAATGATGACCAAGGAGGTCACAATAGCCACAGTAGACATCTTTTTTTTTAATCCTCACCCAGGGACATTTTTCCACTTTTTGTACAGATAGAGTGGGAGGGAGAGGGAGGAAGAGAGAGAGAGAGAAACATCGACGTGAAAGACACACATCGAGTGGCTGTCACCTGCACGACCAACCAGAGCCGGGGACAAACTGCAACCGAAGTACATGCCCTTAGCGGGAACTGAACCTGGGTCTCTCTGGACCGCAGGCCGACGCTCTAACCGCTGAGCCAAACCGGCCAGGGCCACAGTAGACATCTTTAATAAACATTTAAATTTGTGCCAGGAACTGTGCAATAGATGTGACCAAATTTAATCACCACAAAACTATTAAGTGAGTATTAGCTCCATTTTACAAATGATAAAATTGACATTTAGGAAAGTTAAGTGGCATGCCAAATGTCACATGCCTAACAAGTGGCAAACCTGGGATTCAAATCTAGATTTATTATTAAAACTATCCATCTGTTATGAACTGAATGTTTATGCCTACTCAAAATTCATACGTCGAAACCTAATCCCCAATGTTAGTATTGGAGGTTGGGCCTTTGGGGAATGATTAGGTCACAAAAGTGGAATCCTTATGAATAGGATTAGTGTCCTCAAAAAGACTCCAGCGAGCTCCTTCGCCTGCTCCACCATGTGACAACACTGCCAGCAGATGGCCTGAAACGGGAAATGGGACCTCACCAGACACTGACTGCTGGTGCCTTGATCGTGGACTTCCCAGCCTCCAGAACTGTGGAAATTAAGTGCTTGTGGTTTCTAAAGCACTGAGTCTATGATACTTTGTTATACAGCCCAAACTGACGAAGGAACCATCTGAAAACACAATTAGACTTAAAGGCTACAAACTGTAATGAAAAGAAAGATGGTTGAGAGAAGAACTACAAAAAGATAAAATTTAAATAATCAGATTAAATAGTCAAGTACAGAATTTACAGTGGAGAAAACTGAATCAAAGATATGGAAGATAAACCAGAAGAATTCTTGAATGTAAAGAAAATGACAAAAGGATTAAAACAATAATTTAGAAGATGATAGCAGAAGAATGAATAATGACCTTGAGAAGAAAACCACTGGAACAGGAACAATAATCAAATAGAGAAATAAAGAAGAAATTTCAGAGTTGAAAAAGATCCCCCCCATCAAAGAGATCATAGGCAAACTTAGTTAAGATTCAGAACTAGACAAAAACTTAGAAATTATTATAAGGATAAGTTAAAAATTACATAAACATCTAGGTATGTAAGACAGGTTATGGGCAAAGGAGCAAAATTTGTATTGGTCTTCAAGTTCTCTGAAATGAAACACAGACACAGGGAATATACTGTATCTCAAAAAAATTTTAAATATATATATTTTAATTGATTTCTTGAGAGAGAGGAAGGGAGAGGGAGAGAGCAACATTGATGTGTGAGCAAAACATTGATCTGCTGCCTCTTGCATACACCCTAACAGGAATTGAACCTGCAGCCTGGGCACGTGCCCTGATCAGGAATGGAACTGGCAACCTTTCGGTGCGTGGGATAACACCCAGCAAACTGCGCCACACCAGCAAGGGCAGGAATTTTATATGCAATAAATTCAATATTCATATGTGAACACAAAGACAATCTTAGATAAGCAAGAATTGAGAATATGTACAACCCTCAAGTCTTTCATGAATAAGTTACTTGAATTCAGATTCCAGTCAAAACAAAGATGAACTGAAAACAAGAACTCAAGAATGAAGTTTTATGAAAACAGGACCAGTAGTTCTCACTAAAACCAGGACAGGATAACTTAAATATAACGATAAACTTTTCAAGGCAAAGGTAAACAAAATCCCTTAAAAAGATATAGCAAATACTATTTTAACTTTAAGAATAACCTGACTACAAAACCTCAGCTATTTAACAAGGGCTAAAAGTGGGAGTAGCAGGAGAAAGGAAGGAAAGTTTATGCTAAATTTAAAGGATGTGGGGGAAACTCTACATATACCATTCATTGCAGCCTTTAATAATCATAGGATTCTAGAATTAAAGAATATTTTTCTGAAAATATATGTTACCAACTGCAGAAGTAAAAATAAAATATATACCTTCCAAAGCAAGGGTGAAAATAACCAAAGAAAACAGCTCATACAGCAAAGATAGAGAAAAACAAAATAAGAAAGCATGAATTTAAGGAAAACAGATGACATCAGTAAAACCAAACATAGCGGTAGTTAAATTCCCCTTCTAAAATAGTTTCACATTGGGTTAAATTTTTTTTTTAATTCTCACTCGAGGACACTTTTCCATTTTTTGTTCAGATAGAGTGGGAGGAAGAGAGAGAGAGACATCGATGTGAAAGGGACACATCAAGTGGTTGCCACCCGCACGACCCAGCCAGGGCCGGGGACAAACTGCAACCGAGGTACGTGCCCTTAGCGGGAACCGAACTTGGGTCTCTTTGGACCACAGGCCAATGCTCTAACCGCTGAGCCAAACTGGCCAGGGTGGGTTACAATTTTTTTAACTATCCCTCACACACACACATACACACACACAGAAAAAAGTCTAGATTTCAAATGCTAACAGTGGTGAACTGAGAGGAGGGGGTAAAAATAATTATACATTTTAAAAGGCAAAACAACCTAAAGAGAAGATGTAGCATGTGAAAATAAAAGTTCTTCTCTTTTCTATATTTCTACTTTCTACCATGGAAGTAGTTAGCTACACATTTATAACTGGAAAGGGGAAAGCATTATTTTTTTAAAACAGACAATAAACACAAAAAGCCCAGAAAGTTTCATTACAAATAGTAATATAAAACAAAAGACAAAATAGAATGCCAATAGATAGAAAAGTGAACAATAAAACTTTACACACACACACACACACACACACACACGCACGCACACATTCTGCCAGGGATACTTTTCAACAAGAAAGAACTTCACCACCTCAGAATGGCTGATTCAGGTCTTTAAAAAGTGCTAGATAGCCCAGCTGGTGTGGCTCAGTGGTTGAGCGTGGACCCTCGCACCAAGAGGTCACCAGTTTGATTCCTGGTCAGGTTGTGGGCCTGATCCCCACTGCGGGGCATGCAGGAAGTGGTCAATTGATGTTCTTTCTCATCGATGTTTCTGTCTCTCTCTCCCTCTCCTTACCTTTCATCAATAAAGAAAAAAAATTTTTTTTAAGTGCCAGATAAAAGGAAAGAATTCCTTTACTTGCTGGGCAGGGAACATTGGAAGAATCAAGTAAAAATTAAAGAGCTGAAAAGAGTCTCAGTTGCTGTCTTTTCTCTTGGGTTCTTTCTCCCAAAATAATACTGACCAAAAAAAAAGTTAGTCCCTTTAAAAAAAAAAAAATTCTCATTTGCCAATGACCTCACCATTTTATTTGATTTAGTGATCTCACAGTGACCTAATTTCAATGTAATCCACTTACTAGTCTTTTTAAAATTAATTCACAAGCAGAAAAAATTTTTAAATAATCAAAGTAGTTCCAAACTGAGAGCGTGTTGGAGGCCATCTTTAATTCCCAATTCTAATTACTGAAAAACAAAGAAAAAAGCAGCTTACCAAGTGAACCCAGTATGACCAGGATTGTTACGATCCACACAAGTACTCTTGATATATACCTGATTATCACCATCAAAATCATGGAGAGAACTGCAGGGAAGATAAATAGAGAACATGTAAAATATTATCTGAAAATACTGGAAAATATAGAAATTTGTTCAATTGTTTTCTTCTAGAGAAATCATGTGTTGCTATTGACAAGCTCATGACCCCACTTTAGGTAAAAAAGGAAACAGGCTGCTTCTGCACTGACTTTGGTACTTGTGCCACTTGAAACCAAAGGCACCGAACTGTGGGTTTATAAACACAGAAAAGAATACATGCAAATGCACATGGTGACTCAAAAACAGCACAGAACTGTTGTGGATTCACCACAGAAAGGCACTGGAACTCACATGCAAACACACATGCCAACACACAAAGTGTAGAGAATGACATGTCATGTTGGTGACCAGAAAGAGCATCACATGTAGAGAGAGATCAGTTAAATTAGGTGCTATACTTCCTTGAATAATTTACGCCTTTTAGAACCAATTTCTCTGATGGGTGGTCAATAAATAAACCAGATGATATTTTATCTATTTTCTTGTTGTTTCTCTTCTGAAATTCCAATAGACAGTCTGATTCTATGCAATAATACCCTGAAACCTACTGAAGCCAAGATCCTCTGACCACATTCCTCAACTGGGGTCAGGGTCCTGATTAAGCAGCTCTTCAAACAGGAGCAAAGTTCAGTTTGAGTTATTTAGTCAACCCTTCTACTCATCCCCAGCTAAATTCCAACACACTAAAATCTTGAGTGAAAAATCCCAAAAAAGAAAGTGGGACGATTTAACCCTTTTATGGGGAAGTTTATTTTTGAAATCGTAATTTGTTCATCTTTAATTGTCTAAAGGCCCACTTCACAAACAAATGGACAAGATCTAAGAGAGCACTCTAATAAAAAGATGGAATTCCAATAGCTTAACAACATTATTATCACTATTTTTAAGGTTTAGATTTTTTTTCTTGGTCAAGTATTCAACTATTTCTGAACCCAAATAATTTTTATGTAAAACCACACTACCAGTCAAGCTTCTGTGGGTCATTTGCAAAGCCAAAAAATGGTTAAAAACTACGTTATTAAGGTACTCACTTTTGCAATAAATGTACAGGAACCAAAAACAGATGGGAGCATTTCAAATATCATAGAAACAGCTTTTCATATGGAGAGCATTATTTCAATTGAGTCAAGTACTATACCTAAGCAAAGAGAAAATACTCTCTAAAGACAAGATGGAAATATAGCTAGTCTTTTCAATGACTACACTTGTTAACAGGCATAAATCCTCATTTTACTTATATAATGAAAGGGTTGTTTGGTTCCTACCAGTTTTATTCTCCCAACTAAAAAGGTCTATAAATTCTGATATAGCTACATATAGTTCTATGATAATATAGGGAGTTTACATCTTGAAAATAACAGCTTTATCTGATTATATTATCTACCTATGGACAAGAAAACTTGATAGCTAACAAGTGGAGATTTCCTAATTTTTCCAGCAATACAGGGTATTATGAACTGTTGCAAGGAAAGAAAATGAAATATTTCAAAAGTAATCAATCAGAAATCTATGTTCTTTCATGGAAATATATATAAATATATGGCCTCTTTTTGTAAGCAAATAGGCCAAAGATTAGATTGAGAACTAAAAACAAAGGGATGTTGATTTGTTAAAAGAAGCCTCTCGCTATAATGTTAAAGGTTATTATAGACTTAGTAACCAAAGTTTGGAGAAAACGCCAGTTTTCTCCAATGAGAGAAAAAGAAAAGAAATGAGTTTCAGATATATATATATGTGTATATATATATATTTTTATAACTATATATAATCTGAAACAATATTTTGGCTATGTGAAGTGAAACATTTTACAAGTATCCCCAGTTGTATTCATATTTTGGTTAAAAGACAAAACAGTCTTCTGCTGCAGCACTATGCAATAGCTAATAATGAGAAAAACAATTACCTAGTGATAACAAGCAAAGTCCCAATATAATTTCTTTGCTGGTCATTACTCCACTAATCAGCCTGTGTAAGACACTATTGTCACTGACAAAGGTGATCAGGGCCTCTGCAAACTTGGCATAGCAGGAAATGTTCACAGGAGCACAGCGATGGAAGAATGGAATAGGTGCACTGGTGACACAAGAAAAAAAAAATCAGAAAAAAAATTACTCCTACTTAATATAAATGCCACATCAAACACACAAATGAAAGGTGAATATGACTGCAATACACTCCACCCTCCACACACCATATGGGAGCTAAGAGCTGTGAGCTTAATGCTATGAAGATGACTGTCATGGGCAGTGATGTAACTCTTACCACAAATCTTATCAAAGAGGGTGGAGTGCATGTTCCAACAGAAGACATTACCCTCCCCTTCTGGAAAGAAACACACACACACACTCTACCAAAAGCAAAACCAAGCACTTGAACTCTTCAGCCTACATGTCTAGCAATCAAGGGGCAGATGACAAAACTTAAAAACATATACTTCATTGAACTGAAAACAAATTTTTGCCTTAAGCTGTTTAAAAATAAAAAACACACATGTGTTTCTACTTGAAATGTACTACTATTAATAGAATGTTTCCTCTATCAGACTGGCATACAAAACCTTAGATTTTAAAAGGTGTTTGGGCACAAGCTTAGTAACTTTCATATAAACTAAGTCATGCTGAGATATGAGCATGACTTAATACAGCATAATATGCAGCTTTTAAAACAATAACCATGAATAGTAATGTATGGAAATATGTGTGATGTAAGAGTACAAGGGGGAAAAAGCAAACATTTATATCTAATGTGATGATTGCATCTTTGTATAAAAGAGATATATATAAGGATCAGAACAAAAATATAAACAAATAAAAAAATTCTCATTTGGTAGGGTCATGGGATTTGGGGTTATTTGCTTTCTTTTTATATATTGTCACTCTGAGATTATTTGTGTCCAAAAAAAAAGGTAATCTGTTACATCAGGTTTATATGGGCAGCAACTTTTTTTTTTTTCTTTTTGTACGTGCCCCTAGTGGGAACCGAACCTGGGACTCTCTGGTCCGCAGGCCGACATTCCAACCGCTGAGCCAATCCGGCCAGGGCTGGGCAGCAGCTTTTATTTGTGAAGGAACATAGCTGTGTGTGAACCATAGCATTAATCAGGTTTGTTATGAACATGGTTCTACTTTAGTTTCTGAGAGGATGGTATACCTCTAATCAACGAGAGATTTTAAACAAAGCTCTATGAGCATGCCCTCCCTCAGTTGTGATTTGTTTGGATTCTAAGAAGGGCTCAAATGTGTGTCAATGCATGAACACACACTATGTGTGCATTCAGTTAAAACTGAACAATTCCAAACATAAACCCCATAACTTCAGAATTATTTGTAGGACTGTTAATCACAGCTCTAACATAACATTTTGACTGGAATGATATAAATATGTTCTTTTTCTTGGTTGGCACTGTAGTTTGGTCAAATCAGTAGATGAGGTTATACGGTTGAGCATCAAATTCCAAGGTTTCTAATCTCAGCAAAGCAACTTTGCATGGTCACAAGCAAAATACTATTAATTTCCTTCCTCAAATATTGGTAAATGTGCATCACTGGGAATAAGAATAAACAACATCTTCCATACTGATAAACTTCATGGAAAATAGAGCCATATAACTTAATATATCTAGCTTTACCTTAGCTATGCTTCAGTAAAATGTGTCCCCAAATGATATAACTATATGACATAAATGTTTATTTGTAAAAATTTTGTGACCTATGGGTGTATTTGTGTATACCTCTAAGTGGTGTTAGTGAAATCATTTTAGTGAAAGTTGATGCCAAAGATTTGGTATTTTGTCAGAAACTGCAGAAAGACAAAGTATTCTGAGTAACACTTGAATTACAGGTATGCAAGTCATTTTTTTCACCAAATGGCTTTACTTTAGTTAGACATCTTATGAGAAAAAATTGAATAGGATAAACTGTAAGTTCCTAAGTCAATGGAGGCTGATTTAGGAAAGAAAACTTTAAACTGGTAACTTTGTTGGAACCTACAACTGTATGTTTTTTTTTCCTGACGCTGTCTAGATACTACTCCTACCAGGTTAGTGTCCCCATTTAAAGAAGTCTAACCATATTTTTAACTAAGGCTTGTTCTCTAGTCGTCAAAACTAAAGTAATCTCTCTGATTCATGATTATGTACATCCTCACTTGCTTTATGTATTAGCCTATCAGCTCTGATACAGCCTCTAACTCACTCATCTCCAACCTTGAACATAAAATGTATCCACCTTAAAGATACTGATGTCTTTTTCTTATTTTTAATATCCACCAATTTTCTTGGCTCTGCTCCCGTTTCCTTTTTCCTGTCAGACAACCACAGGGAACTTCCTCCTCTGTCCAGAGGTGGCTCCGCCTATAGCTCCCATATCTTAACGGGATATTGACGTATTTTTAAAATCAAAGAAACACACCATTTGAAGCCTGTGAGAAAGGAAAGAAACCTGGACTTGGGTTCAAAAGCCCTGGGCGATTCTCCTAACATTACACATTCACATCACTCCGTCGCTCTCTCTCAGTTTCTCCATCTGTTAGTTGAAAGGGTAGGAATAAGGCCTTTGTCTTTTCTGATATTAATAATAATAATAACAATAACATTATGCCCACCCAGAAATCAATGATTCTAAATTAATAGAAGCAACAAGCCAAGTATCGTTAGTATGTTTCTGCTTTTTAAACCTAGAATAAGAACAGGCCATTTGAAAAGGGTTCTACTGTTAAAATCGAAATTCTTCGTTTTTTTAAAGACTGAGTAATATCTGCTCTGAACTTACCCGTTCAAGTCCTTTTTATAATGTATATAGATACAGGGCCAATTGAAGAGAGTACTTTCACATGTATTTCTCAAAGAAATGAAGCAAAATAACAATAGCCCCTTGCCTTATAATTCAACCTATGTCAATTAAAAAAAAATTCTGACAGCTCTAAATTTCAAGGTTATAAAATAAGCACAAACTAATTAACTACATTTTTTAGCCATTTTTTGGCCAAAATGGTCAAAATCTGCTCGTACTGGCACAGAATATCAGACATAGGAGGCAAAAGAGAAGATATATTTGAACACAATAGTAAGAAATAAAATTAAACACTTAGTTTTAAAGTAAAAAACAGTAGATCCCTTTATATGTCATTCATTTTCTTAGCTCTTTCCCCCAAACAATGAGTTGATGCTTGAATTATTTTATTAAAAAGCCTAAGTAATCATGGCATTGATATGGTTTGTTTTATATTTTACCATTTAAAGCCCATGTGATATAATGAATTTAAAATGAAATGAGTATTTCATTTACCTCTCAGAAAATAATAATTCTGGGAACTTAGTATATGAGATCATTTCTACTTTACTGACTAACCCACATGACATATTCTGTGCTTCTTTTTTTATCCTCACTTGAGGATCTTTTTCTATTTATCTTCGGGAGGGAGAGAGGGGAAAAGAAAGGGAGAGAGAGAGGAACATCGACATGAGAGGGACACATCGACTGGTTGCCTCCTGCACGACCCTGACCAGGGCCGGGGACGAACCGCAACTCAGAGACGTGCCCTTGGCCAGAATCAAACCCATGACTCATTGGTCCAGGGGCCGACGCTCTATCGCTGAGCCAAACCGGCCAGGGTATATTCTGTGCTTCTTAATTAAGAGGACAAGCATAAAAATTCCAGGTATAGTAAGTTTTACTACTTTTCGAAGCCTACAGAATAGTGAATCTTTAAGAAGTCAATGTTGTTCCATTAGGAACGGTTGCTATTTCACATTACTGAAACATGTGTCAACAAGAACAAAATGAATTCATAATGAGTCTTTTAAAGACTTTAAAAAAATTAGCCACTCATAGGGAAATTGTATCTCACCTTGGCAAACATCCTGTCCACCTGCCTTTAAGCCCAGACTATCACAATTAATGACCTCCCTCAAAGGACAGTGACAAACAATGCCTTCATAAGAGAAGACAGGAGTTGGCATCTCACAATTATTTTAAAACTTCGGGTTATAAAACAGGAAACAAAAACAAGAACTCACAGAGGCAGACAACAGATCAGGGGAAGGGGAGTGGAGGAAGGTGGAATGAGTAAAGGGGGTCAATTACATGGTGACAGATGGAAACTAGACTTTTGGTGGTGAGTATGACATACTATATATACAGATGTCAAAATATAATGTTGCACACCCGAAACGTATATAATGTTATAAGCCAATGTTACCTCAATTAAAAACACCCTCAGGTTATAAATAAGCAATTACACATGATTTCTAATTAAAAGTTTTATTTAAGGATAGAGGAATAGAGGGTTCTGGCAATACCGCTACAGCACAGAAAAGGCAGGAAAAAAATAAGTCAAGACTCTAATGGCACTATGCAATGGTTTTCATATATTTCATTTTATTTCTTCTCTTCTTCCATTCCTGTACTCTCTCTTAAAAAACAAAACGAAATACTAACTGTAGTATAGCCTTTAGAAGATATTAGATTCAAATTCTGATTCCCAACAATTAGTTGTGTGCCCTTGAACAACTCCTTTAATCTCTTTTATCTTGTACGTCCTCATCTATAAATTGGGACAATATCCCAATGGGCTTTTGTGAAGGTAAAATGAGATAATACACATGAAAAGCTTAATATGGTAGCTGGCACACAATAGATGATTTTTAAATGATAATTTACCTTGAATCTTTCATTTAAAAAATATAAATAGACAACATTTTTTCCTTGGCTGTTAATTTCTCTTTTCTACATTACATTATTAATTCCCCAACACCCCGCATCCTTTCTGGCATCCAGAGGTACCCAAATCAATGTTTGATAAATAAACTGAATTTACACAATCTGTCTATAGTACTGCAATTTTCTCTAGTTATACCTAAACCTTCAAGCATTGTAGGTATACAGCCTAGCTAGTCTCCCTATTGCTACCATGCTTAGCATATGTCACCAATAGAGAGTTATGAATATGGGTAAAATATGGCCCTTTCTAGGCATTTGTTTTTAAAATTCAAAAACTCTTTGGAGTAACCATTTGGCAATTATGTGGCACTAGTGTTTTATTAACAATTAGTTTATCATTGTTTTTCTCTAAAACAGGCACTGCCTTCAGCTGTAGAAGGCACCTGGGTGCCTAGGAAGGTTGGGGGTGAAGGGAAGGGTCTAAAAGTTGAGAGAAATAATACTACCAAGCCAAAAGCCAAGCACAATAAACAGGTGTGTAACACAAATTATCTTATTTAACTCTTACAAATCCATGATAGAGGTATTAAATTCCCATTTTACGTACGAGGAAACTTGGTTTACAAAGAGATTAAGAGACTTGCTCAAGCTGACAAACAGAAGGTGGTGACATAGAATTCACCTCCAGGCCTATCTGGGCTCAAAGTTCAGCCCTTTCTGTCCCACTAAAGTGCTCCTAGGAGCAGCAAAAAAGATGTGACAGGTGCTGAGGGCCATGTACCTATGTCACGTTTCGGAGCTGGTCTTCAGACATTACAAAAACAGTCACATATAGAAACAGTTCCTACATTTTTTAAGGGCTGGGTTTCTTAGGGACAGAGACTAGATATTAGTCATCTTTTTAGATTTGGTACCTAATACTAGTGTAGAACAAGGAAGTGTCCCAAGTTTTTTTATTAAAACAAATTTATTCTGTATTCTAATCCTTTTACTTGCTTGCCAAATGCTAAATGATGATATTTACAAGGTCCTAATTTACCTTCCTCCTATCAATTATTTCTTCTCCATTACTTTCCAACAGACTGAGTTCAGACAAAAGTGATAAGATACTTAGATTGTAAGGATCTTTAAATAAAGTATAAATATAGTATACTGGCAGTTTTCAGATGGTAAAGGTTCATCATTGTATCTTGGATTACTGACACAAGTGGATGACCTTGTTAGAATCCAAGTCTGTCCATCTCTAAAATCCAAGCCCCTAATATTACTGCTTTGTCTTCTAGTCAATGCCCTTAAGATGCTGTATGTGAAGTGTGAGTGTCTGTGCAGCCAAGACTAAAACACCCCAAATAACCAGAAACAGGTAGTCCTCAACATGGTAGAATCAGAGATCAGAGGCGGGGGATGATTTGCAGTATGAGCTGCCCCCACCCATATTATATAGGAGCAGAGCAACCTCATTCTCATACCAAGGCTTTCTGGTTATGCTTTTATAATACATTTATGCCTTAAAATAGAGACTCTGTACTCAAAGTATGCATTTAAAACAGGCTTTAGCAGTTCAGTAGGACATAGCTTTTCCTGTTTTTACACGGATAAATTTTCTCCAGTGACTCTATTCAAAGGACCTCTTTTATTTACTGTCAGAGCCTCCCTACTCTTCTCGAGTTTCACAAATGGAGTCTCCTTACCTGTAAGTCTAAGCACATAATTTTTAGATCCATTTCATTTTAGTATCTTTTAAAATAGTCCCTTATTTTTATGTCCAAAGGCTTTAAATTTTAACATCAATGGCAACTTAACAAGAGTAAAAGCTGAAATCAATTTAACTGATATCCTTTGTCTACTTTTCAACAGAAAATTTCAAATTCAAGTTAATACAGCACAAGTTACACCCATAAGCAATCCAAAGAAAAATGGACGTGAGTCTTAAAATTTTAACCAAGAGCTTGCTATACACTGAGTTACAATAAAAGTGGTTCAATTCAATATTCCTAGAGCAGTTGACTCAGGTCATACACGGGTAGTGATACACGCTAAGGTTCTTAAGATCAGACGTGTTCCAAATCCTATACACCTAATTCTGAGGACACAGTCTGCAATGCTTGAAAATTTATTTCCTTCCTTAAAAATCTATTTATAATTTTAAAATTTGCTTCACTTATAACTACCGTGAGATTTTTCCTTAATCCTTTTATCCATTATACACAATAAGTGCTTAATAATAAATGCTTGTTGAATAAGACCTTGGATAAGATATGCAAACAGCCCATTACAGAGAATGTACCTAAAGGATATAGCCTGAAATAAACCATGGAAAATAATCACTGTATGTTTTTTTTAATTTGCAAAGTAAAATTGAAAATGAATCCTCATTAGTATTACTAGGATGAATTTCAAAGAATCTTTGAAGATTGTGAGACTTGGCTTCTAAGTACTATAGATTTTATGATTCAGCAGTTTTGTATACTTAAAAATATGGCATGAAAAAAAAAGGGAGCCCCCCAAAAGAAATGTAAAATACCTGATAATGAGAAATGTTGTTTGCCTGTCTTTTTTAAAAGATATAAATTACATGTTGTCATTTCTACTACTACTTTTAACATTTTGATGTAAATGTATTGGACCTAGGAAACTGGTATCAAGTGACCCTTTCTCAGAATAGTTTCAAATCTACCTATAAAAACAAAAGTCACAAGTTAACAAAATACAATAAAATTTACCTCGCTGGGACTGGCAGTTTGGGGCAAAGAGAAGCTTTTGAAGATGTATATTCAGAAGGCTTTAGGTTGTAGCGACATAGTTCTGAGCCTGTTGAAAGAAAAGTTATATGTTAGCTAGCAAACAGAGTCTGAATAAATTCTTTTATTAAGGCACTTTAATTTAATTTTATATGTAAATATTAACTCAACATATACAACTTTCAAACATTATAGAATTAATAAGGATCTGATCTGGTCTATGATATCAACCCTCCATCATTTAAAACATTTCCTTTTACAGTAACATGTACACATTTTAATTAATAATATTAAAGGTCATAACAAATACTAGAGCTACCTTTATTGAGTGACTGCTGTCTGCTATATGTCAGGATAGATAGATATATAGATAATCAATTTTAACTCTAACTGACCAAACTGCATCTGGGAATGTCTCTAAACAACTGAACCAAAGAAACATGATAAAATTCTAATGTTGAAAAAACCAAGAGTTTTTGCCAGCTCTAGTGCTTCTGAGAATTAGGCCAAGCAGCCCATTCCCAAGGCTGGTTCTATCGCCCATGCAAGTTTCTCATCCCAAGAGGAGGGTTGGGATGAGGGGTAGTGAGGGGAACCTGTCCCCTCCTCCCATTATGCTAAGAACTCATAGGAAGTTACTGGTGGAATAAGTCTCGTCTCTCACCTCATAAATATTATTTATATCATTTAGTATAACTTTATAAGGCAGGTATGTATTATTAAACCCACTTTACAGAGAAGGAAATAGAGGTTAAAAGATAAGGTAAATAACTTGACCAAAATGACACACAGCTACTAAGCAGTAGATTAAACTCTAGATCTCTTTGACCACAAAACCCATACTCAGCTACATACACAGCCTCTCTTTTTTTCTGTTCTCCATTACTAACGAATTAAAATTACTGCATAGAGCACTTGTGCAATCAGATAATACAGCATCTTTTTTCTTATTTAAAAGGCAAGAAATCCTAATTAAATAAACTGAACAAAGTGATAAAATTGACAAAAGGGTCCTCAATTTTCAGATAGTTCAAAATAGCTTAAATTCAATCCTAGATTGGTTATACAACCATGTATTTCACTGACTATATGGCTAATATATATCTAAACAATACATAAAATTCAAATAAATACAGTCTACCAAATTATTGATTAGTATTTTAATGACCTGTTAATTTTGTAATATGGTAACTGAAATATTGTAAGGTTCATTGTATATAGATACTGTTAACTAGGAGAGCTAGACTATAGCCTAATTTTTCTCAGGACCTACAGCATTATATCATGTAAATTGTTTATATTTTATTAACTGATGTTCCTACCAGATTACTAATTTGGTCAAATTCTTTATTAAATACAAATAAAATAGCTTTCCATTTGTATTATAGAAACAAGGGATTATAATGTTCCACCACAGAGAAAGTGTAAAATATAATGTGAAGTGAAAATGGCGGATTTTAACACTGAAATAATTATAGAAACATGTAAAGATGTGATAAGAAACTAGAAGAAAGTATTTTTGTATTTGTTGACAGAACACAATTTGGAAGTGTTGTCCTATCAATCAAAAAAATTTTAGAAAGCCACAAAACATGTTCACTTCAGTAACGCTACCCCCAAATCAGCAACCACTTGTTGAGTGTTTAAATATGTGGGCTGTAACAGCATACTTACATAAATACATGCAGCATCTATTTTATATAAAGATAATTAAAATAATTGACCAATGTAAAATATTTTTAAAGAGATACTTGAAAGTTACATGGCACTGTTCTTCAAGTATCTTCAGTTCTTAAGACAGATTCAATAGGAAGCTAAGTTTTTGAAATGATTTTTAAGCATTCTTCTTCATTGTAATGACTGTTTAAGTTAGCAAAATATTAAAATCTAACTCTTCTGAAATTAGTCTTTCATGTGTGAAGATAATGCCACTTGATGCCACTTACAGCAATGGCAAGCAAACGTTTCTGATTAATCCCTGAAATAGTTGGGGGTCCTATTATGGAATTGCACATGAGAAAAAAGAGCAACTGTGCCAATAACTGCAGAGCACCCGGTATGATCAACTTCCTGATCTGAATTGTCAACCTATTTCTTTTAGAGTCCAAGATGGAATCGATTTGCACAATGTAAAAGGCCCTAACTAAAGCACTTTGTGTCAGAGCTGTCAAATACACAGCTCCGTCTGAATTCCGTGCACACGATCTCCACCCCCACCCTCTCTCCATTTAAAAAAAGGAGGTCAGCAGGTGCAACAGGGTTCAATTTTATAAATACTTTCCTAGGATAATGCTCAATGAAAGGATAATAGCCTTATCTCTGATGGTATTCTGGGACACAGGCCAGTACTAAATAGATCCTGTACTAAATAGATTAAAGGGAAAAGATCTTTACAATGTGTTAGTCATAACAATCCTAAGAAACCTTATACTGCTTCCTGCTCGAAGGGCTGATGGACAGAGAAGCCTCAATGAAGAACATTAAAACAACCCAGTACAGAGAACATTTTACAGTTGCTGTTTTTCTTTTCATGTTTATTTGCTAATGCATTTTCAGTGAACATTTTTAAGGCAGTATCTATCTTTTTTTTTTTTTAATAGTGGAAGTATAAACAATATTAGCACAAGAGGTCTGGTCATAAGCAGTAAGACCAAGTTGGTTTTTTTGTTAATGAAGAAAGCAGGAAAAAAACATACTTGAGTAATGAAAAGTCTAAAACAAAAAACAAAAAGCTTATCTAAACCACACTAGAGGCAATCCATGCAACTCAGCCAATGTTATTCAAATGCCATCAAAATGAATGATCTTAGGAATCTAACTTTGGTGTATAAACATTTATCTCAGTAAACGGCTTCTATAGCCCCCAGAATGTTTACTACAATTTTTCAAATGCCTTATAATATTCAATTATGTATTCTTTAGCTCAGTATCACTTACAACTCCCCTAAGAGGTTATGTTTCCATCACCACGTTCTAAACATTACAGATGAAATAAAAAAGTAATACTTCCAAGGCCTTATGAGCAATCACTGGCAAATTCAGAAACAGAATTCTTTACTTCTAGGCCACAATGCTTCTTCTGTGTCATTCCTAATAAACATAATCAGACAAGTATTCAATAAGCTCCTGGGCAAAAGATGTATTTTCCATAGATATCCCCAAAACAGCAATTTTAATAAAGCCCAAAATATTTCTATCACTCACTCTCCAAATCTGCTCTGCCTCCTCCTGTGTATTTTCAACCCTGGTTAATGGCTCCATCATCCATGAAATTCCCAAGATGAAATGTGGAAGACATCCTTTCTCTTCTTCTTTATCGACTATCCTCCCATACCACTCAAAATATGCAAGACACCAAGTCCCAACAATCAGACATTTCCATGTTGTCTCAGACCTTCATGATCTCTTACTGAGTTGGATAATCTACTCTCCCAAAAGGCGTCTCATCTCCATCCTGCACACAGCTTTCAGAATGGCCTTTGTAAAATGGCTATTCGTTGTATCACAACCCTATCCTCAGGATAAATTCCAAGCTCCATGGCTTCAAGGCCTTCCTAAATCTGGCCTCACTTTAACATAAGTAACTACTTATAATGTTGCTGTTTAACAAGCGTCTAAGCTTTTTCACATGTGGTTCCTTCTGCATGGGCTGTTCTTTCCTACTTGGTATATGAGTGACTGTTTAAGTTACACAACAATTTCTACAAAGTACTGAAGCTTCACCTCCTCCGTCAAGCCTCCTCTGACTCATCCAAAAAAAGCTATATACCGCTTAGCTCTATGATAAACTTAGCATATTATTTTTTAACATTCTGATTTATTTATCACCTCTAATTTTAGAATGTGAGCTCTTTAAGAACTGGGGCCTTATGTCCTCAAAATATCTGGAGCCCATGTCTCATGGCACATAGCACTCAAAAGCCATCTGTTGAATAAAACAGACATCCTGGTTAAAAAAAAAACACCTGGGTTTAACCTCTTATATTCTGGTGTTACATGTTATGTATAATGTCCATCTGCTTTTCACTATTCACTACAAAATATACTGTCTAAGGTAAGATTTCTCAACTTTGACAATTCTTTGTTATAGGGGGATGTCCTGTGCTCTGAAGGAAGGGTAGCAGCATCCCTGGTGTCACCCACTGGATGCCGATAGCTACCCCTAATTCCTCACCCAACTATGACATCCAAAAAGGTCTCCTAACATTGCCAAATGTTCCGGAGTAGGGATGGCAAATCACCCTTAGTTGAGAACCACTGGTCTAAAACACCAAATTATTTGAAACAAAAAGTTGGTTGTTAGAGGCAAATTCTTGCTTTAAAATTTTGTTTGATTTGCTATCATGGTAATATTTGTAGGATGTACCAAAATTAAGAGCAAAATATTCCTTAAAAAATTGATTTAGAAAATTCTAGTTAATAAAAGTTAAAACCTCTCAATACAGAACAGTTATCATCATAAAAAAAAAAATTGCATTGCCATGTGAAGTTCAATGAATTTAACTTTTGTCTCTAATTAAGAAAGCATTATATATTTATATGCTGGAAGAATTCAAGACAATTTCCAATTTCGGTTTCTAGTAACTACTGAAAAGTATGGATATCTTTGCAATTCCCAAGAAGCACCCAGTAACCAGCTGGTAGTGTGGCATTATGTCAACCACTAAGTGGCACATACTAGGTACACAATAACTATGTGCTGAGTGAATTAATTTTGGACACACATGTGCAAGACTTCTACTAGGTATTACAGAAGACAAAGAGAAGTTTGACTATCTACTATAATGCAAGCTCCTTACATGTGAGGACTGTACCTCGTCTTTGTCTCTTTGGCACATACTTAATAAGTGCTAATTATTTGTAGAATGAGGAATTAGTTTAAATTGCATTATCAAATGTAAGGATTTTTCCCACTTTAAAAAAAAATTGAATTTACTGGGGTGACATGGGTTAATAAAATTATATAAGTTTCAGGTGTACAATTCTATAATAGATCATCTGTATATTGTATTTTGTGTTTAAAAGTCTCCTTCCATTACCATTTATCCCCCTCATACCTTCTTCTACCTC